AAAGACAAATCATAAGACGAGCAGCAAAAAAAAAGAGAAGACATCATGATGGAAATAGCTCATCGCTTTAAACTCGTGAAGAAGGAGAGATAAGATAATTTAGAAGTCAAAATTAGTTGTTTTAAAGTTTCAATAATTAATAATTTTAAAAATGTAAACCAATGATTACAATGAAAACTAAGTCATTAGCATATGAATGCTTTACCTAGCAAACTAACTTTCTGCGTAATCATTTGTGAATTGCAATTCATATATAACATCACTTTCGAAATCTTAAAACGAAGATTAAGCCGAGATTTATGCTCCCATCATTACGGATATGTGGGATGTCGTACAAAGCTTATTTTCATTTAATAATTACTATTTTTTTATGCTTACCAACCGTACGGTTTCATTAGTGTTTTTGGGTAAATCGTAACAATGAATTCCGAAACCCTTCCTTTATAGTGTGTTATTTATATAATGTTAATGTTTGAATTGTGAAAATTTAAAAGATTCTTTAGTTATAAAAAATGACGTATAAAAATATAACGAATATAAAACTAAAAGGAAATGTCAAAAGGACATAACTCGGCTGTCCATCTTGTAGTGTACCAAATGGGGCATGTGGAAGGTTGAAGGAAAGCTATCCCCACTTTTTGTTGATTATTTTCATCATTTTATGCATCTTTTTCTATTCCTTTTTTTCAAAAGAAAGTGATTTTTAAAAATTCCTATAAATATATATTTTGGCAGTAAATTGATTGAGACTTAGCTCTCCCTTTATCGGACACATATCATGACCTCTGGATCATGGTCTGTCCTTCTTCTTTTAAGCATTCATCCACATTTCTTTTGTTTTCTTATATCACTTTTCAACATTTTTTTTCTTTTGCCGTTTCAGCATTAATTCTAATTTTCTTTCCAAGTTTCAACAGTAAAATTTCACAATATTTAAAAAAAACAACAAATTTTATTTTCAAACTACAATCAAGGCTACTGCATTTACAATTTTCTGTCTTTAAGAAAACAACTTCAAACCGAAACTGAACCGAGATCGTATTATGGGCCTAAATGGGCTGGGTTATAAATCTTATGGGCCAATTGTAGAACCATTTACAATTCAAAAATCCTATTTCCACTTGAAATGGAAGAACTGAAAACGTTATGATAATTTTCTCAAAGAAAGCGGAACGACTCCTAAACTATAATGCCGGATTGCCGTTCTTTGGTGGCCAAGAACAATCGCTATAATAAAAGCTATTATATTTTCATGTTGAAATATTATATGGGTTCCGAATAACTAAAACCTTAAAACCTATTTTCTATCTTTTCTTCTGGTTTGATTATTTCCTCCACCATGATGAATGGCTCGCTGGATGCAGAAGGGGAGATAGCTGATCGATTTAACACATATTCTGTTGTTACGGAGAAAGCAACAAGGTGAAGTTCTGCCTCCAATTCCAATCCAAGATGTAGATTCCATTAAAGTTACACCAATCCAATCACAACTTCCTTCCTTTGTTTTTAAATTCATTATTGTATTTAATCTATGTTTCCAGAGTAAATTATACTAGATTGGTTTGGTGCGCATTACTTTAAGATTATATTTTCAAGGTTCGGTTCAGGTACTATCAGACAAATTGATTACATTTGAAAAATTTTAACATTTTTTTTGTTAACCAGGAGAATTTCAGGTCGTGACCTTTGACTACCCCTCTCAGACCCTTTGAAATCCGGGTTTACTATTACATTTGATTTTTTTTTACATTATTAAAATATGGTTGTTAGATTGGTTCGATTTTTTGTGGTTTTATCCATTACAAACACTTCAATAAGTGAGTTTCATTTTATATGTATTGTATGCTTTATGTTTAGGATCCCTAACGATATTTCCCTCGCGCGATTAGCCAACAACCCTGACCCTAATTACAATTTGGTACGTGCCAAAAAAAGTTATGTGCGTGAAATTGTACATTAGAGAAAGTGTGTAGTGGTACGCTTTGCTATCCGGTACAGACTAGTTTACATCAAGATCGGCTCGATTAATCTTGGTTTATGTAGTCTTGACCGAAATAGGTTCGCGCAGTCCAGTTAGGCCCAATAACAAGAGACGGTAGAGATTAGGGGGGAAAAAATCCTAAGCTCTCTAATATACTATAAATAGAGAACTTGATTACTGTAGAAAGGAGACTTTCCCGAAGCGATTGAAAGCTCATTGTACTCAGTTCGTCGAAAGATCTCTGAACTCAAAGACTTATAATCTGAACTCAATTAATGGAACATAAATTTTTTTTCCGAACTCAAAATTACCGAATTAACCCCAAATAGTTGAGATCCACAATCAACATCCACAATCAACATGTATAGATAACATTGATATATATTGTTGTTTCGTGTGGTTGCTCTGAAGATACAAGAGTGGTATGCATGATCTACGTGCACAAGATCGAACCGGGTAAAAGCAATGAGCAGCAAAACTTGAGAATTAGTAGTGTAGTGGCTGAGGCGGGTGAAGAATCTAATGTTCAGTTGTTGAATTATTGATGAGGAGGAAGATGTGTTTGATCAGTTTTTGGTTTTCATAGCCTCTATAGTGATTACCCTGATTTTATATATACTGTTAGTTACATTCTTCTAAACTTAGTTTACTTTTTTGTTTTAAAAGAATTTTTGATTCACTGATCGCTAATTATACCGATTTAAGTTATGTTTCTAAGAGGTATGTTTTTCATTGGTTAAGAAATTCGTGAAAAAGGTAACTTAACTTTGGAATTGTATAGCAAGACCAATTAGTAAATTTCAAATTATATAGTTTGTGGACTGATTTGGGGTGGGGAAATGAGACTTAGAGATGGTTCTTCAAGTGATTCATTTCGATTGAATCTGTACTATACGATGGAGGTCGAATCAATTTCTATTTATGCTAAACTTATAAACATCTATGACTTTTGCTGTGACACCAAGCAGCTGGAGTTTTTCTAACCTTTTTTTTTTTGTCAAAATTTTCATTTTGTTTGTGTCAACTTTCAGCTGTCTTCCCATGTTCATGTCTTAAACGATTCCATCTTATGACATTTATTAATATGGAAGTCAAATGTTAATGTGTGGATCCAATCATGTGAATTCTAAAAAGTCAAAGAGCTTTTTATATACAAAAGTCAACTATTTTATGTGGAGATGGGCACAAAAGTCTCTCCCCGTCGCCGGTTTCATTCTCAAATCCGGGACGGTTTCATAAGTATATATGGAGCTAATTCAACACATATTTGGAATCAGTGAATCACAACGAGACGGAAATGGGACAACAAAATTTTGATTTCTGTATGGGACACAATTATTTAATTAAAATGTTTTTTAGGCTTTCTTTATCTTACTCTAGTTGATATATGTTGTATATGTTATGATTTTCTTTTGTTACCAAATAATAAGCTATTATTTATTCCGCTCTTACTAGTTACTTTCCCTAATTTTGGCACCAAATATTTGACAATAGTTACAGTGGTTTACAAAACGTAAACTATTTTTCTCCAAAGATAATATTAGACTAAAATTAAATCTACCATCATTAAAAGGGAACGACATCTCTGTTTTTTTTTTAAATTAATTTATTGAACTAGTAGCGTTTGAGTAATGTTTATTGTGTGTCGGATTGCAGTTATAGATATGGTTACATGTGTATACATAAATAAAAAATGCCTTCATAAAGTTTTCTTCTTCTTCTTTTTTATACTCTTCAAAATACAAACTATCTATACTCGAGAAAGGTCCTTTTTGGTTTATTTTGTTTATGCGGAATTAAGTAACATGATATACATTGTACTTAAAAGGACAAAGGATCACATATACATGTGTAATTATGGGTGTATACATATGTTGTCAAGATTGACTAATACTAAATTAAATGAAAGAATCTAGGCGCTTTGGAATCATTTTTTTGTTGTAACAGGGTTTTTTTAGAAACATATTTGGGTTTCCAATTTTTGACTCGGAGAGCAATTCACGCCGATGAACCGACACAGACCATACTTGGAGTTGGATGCTCCCATCGTATATAATTTTATACATACAGATGCAATTAATGATATAACTAGTTGCTATATATAATTATAATAATCCAATTATATCCAAACAACCGGAAAGTTGTCTATAATTTGCTTGACATTCAAATTACACAAATTACAGGGACTTATTATCATTGGTTAATCATATTTAGTTTGTGTTTTACAGTTTATTCAGAAGGGTCCTTTGTGATCTCGATTCTTACCTATAGTCATTTTGTTGTTGTTAAGTACTACATTCATTTTCTTGTATGTTCATATGAGCAAGTATAGCCAACATTCGATATTTAGATCTTCATGCATCTTGATAGAGGCTTCGCTCTATATTTCTTTGTAACCAAATTTACGTACAGTTCAACAAATTATTTTATAGGGAGGGTTTTATACAAAGACATTATACCTAATTCTAAATAATATGATCATAGAGTAACCGCATATTACCTAAAACAATAGAATAATTATTACCTTAAGACCACATAATCATTAAACTTACATGATAAATGAAATTAAGAAAATGATTTAACATGGTAGTATAATTAATCGAATTTCAAATTTTGATTTAAAAAAAAATTCCGAGTAGTGCGATGAATAACATGATGGACAGAGTACGGCCACACCACAAACATTGCGGCTCATTTCGTGGGGATATTCAACGTGCTCCTACTTATCTTCGTTATCACTTTCATATTAGTACGTACGGTAAATCGCCGTATTAATACTGAGATAGTATTTTTTTATATGAAAATATTAAGATATTTCTACCATCACTTTTCTTTTGACTCTCGAAAATTTCCGAGAAAACTACGAAAAATTATTAATACGTAGGTCGGCTATATATAGCTGTAGGGACTCTGCACATATCACCACCATTGTATAATTAATCTCTTAACTATGCTTTGTTATAAATAAATAACAATTGATAGATTAGTTCTGTTGATTCACTTCGCATAAAATCTCACGATGTCTTTAGCTCTCTCTCTTTGCTTGGCTTTCCTTTTTTCCATTTGCCATGGTTCTCATAGCTTACCTGCACGACGAAGTCCTCATCTTGATGGTAAGACCATTCTAATCTTCATGTAACTGTCGATGTTGTATATGTTTTATATGTTATTATAATGTTAAGTAGTAAATGATATCATCCTATCAAAGAAAATTACGATAAAAATAATGATATCAGAGAAAAATCAGTTTGGCCATTTTGATATTGAAGTATTGTAATCAGTAAAGAAAATTATTTGGCGTTTCAAATAGCCAATGTGTTCTTTCAATTTATACTTATATATATTTTACTGTCTATGACTCAACATTACCGGGGTTTTTGCAATACTATAATACAAACGATTAGACTATATTCAACATTTTTAACTAAACGGCAGAAATTTGGTGTAATAAGCCACTATATATGCCAATACCAAATAGATTCATATGTTAAAGTTTTCACATTGGATAAAATGGGGATTTGCTTTCCATGTTCATGCAGGGCTGCTTCCAAATGGAAACTTTGAGCAAGTTCCAAACAAATCAAACATGAGAAAGAGGCAAATAATTGGAAAATATTCTCTTCCTCATTGGGAAATCTCCGGCCACGTGGAGTTAGTCTCCGGCGGTCCACAACCGGGAGGTTTCTATTTTGCAGTGCCACGTGGAGTCCATGCAGCTAGGCTAGGAAACTTAGCCTCAATATCTCAATATGTAAGAGTAAAGCGTGGCTTGATCTATTCTCTAACGTTTGGGGTCACGAGGACTTGTGCTCAGGACGAGAACATACGAGTCTCCGTGCCTGGTCAGACCAATGAGCTCCCGATCCAGACGCTGTTTAGTACTAACGGTGGAGATACTTACGCTTGGGCTTTCAAGGCAACGTCTGATTTAGTTAAGATCACTTTCCATAATCCTGGTGTTCAAGAGGATCCTTCTTGTGGTCCTCTCGTTGACGCTGTTGCCATCAAGGAAATTCTCCCCCTCCGGTATAACAGAGGTAATTAATAACCGGGTCAATTCCGGTTTACCTTTCTCCATCCAAATTTTTGGTTTGATTTTCATTTTTTGTGTAATAAATTAGGAAACATTGTGAAAAATGGCGGGTTCGAGGTTGGTCCACACGTATTCAAGAACTTCTCTACTGGAATCTTGATTCCAGCGAAGATACAAGATCTGATCTCACCGTTACCGGGATGGATCGTCGAGTCTCTTAAACCGGTTAAATACATTGATAATGGTCATTTCAATGTCCCCTCAGGACACGCCGCAATTGAGATCATTGCCGGGAGAGAAAGCGCCATAGCTCAAATCATCCGTACCGTCGCCGGTAAATACTACATTCTCTCGTTCGTTGTTGGAGACGCACACAACGGCTGCCATGGATCGATGATGGTGGAAGCGTTTGCGGGAAGATCGACGTTTAAGCTTAGGTTTGAATCTAATGGAAAAGGAGCGGTTAAAGTGGGACGTTTCAGATTTCGAGCCGATTCGAACCGCACGAGGATTACTTTCTACAGTGGGTTTTATCATACTAAGCTCCATGATTTTGGACATCTTTGTGGACCTGTGCTCGACAATGTTAGGGTTGTTATGACCCGTTAATTATATCTATTTGAATACCCGTTAATAAATACATAAATTATATTATATCTGTAAAACGTTATTAAAACATTTACAAAGTCGAGTGGTCAACTATATTTCTGTAAAGTACTTTTAAGATAATTTTTTTTTTTCATTTGTTATCCAATCTTCAACATTTGATTTAGACAAACAAAAGATAGCAAATACACAAACTGAACAAGATTTCAAATCTGTGGATCTTCTGATTAGATATTTTACAAAGTAAAAAGGCGTATTGATCAAAGGAATGAAAAGAAAGAAAAAAAAAGATAGAACAAAAAGATTAAATCAATAAGTATTTTTCCTTTTTTAAGTTTGTGGATGCAAATTTGACGTAAAGATCGAGCAAATCAGAGCGGAGACCAAATATGGACTTCTGGAGCTCCCTTTCATATCCCTTGTCTACACACATGCGCGCATTTAATTGTAAATGTCGCCCACCATTTCTTTGTTTAAACGTTATAGCTTTTTTGCCGACAAAAAAAAACGTTAAGCTTCTTTATATTATAAGTTAAACGTTAAGCTTTATTAAATAGAACACATTACTACGTCGATTGCAGAGAAATGAAAGAACCAAAAAGTTGACTATGATTTGCTAACGTATGACTCAATTTTTTTATATATATATATATATAGTTGTGTATATCTATATATATATATATTCTTATAAATAACAAAAACAATTAACCAGACTTTGATAGTTTAAATTTCGTTAACTAGTTAAGTAAATTATGGTGCATTTAATAATCAATATGATATTTATTTTTTTGCCCCTAGGACTCATTGTTTCAATTGCATTTTCTCGTTTATTTGGCATTTCAGTCTTTCGGTTTCGGTTAAGATTCGATCTCGTGAATAGAACAACAACAACAGAATTGCTACCATTTAGGTTTATCTATCTAGCTAATGCAGGTAAACTGGATGGAACTAATTAATGTAAATAATCAAATGGCTTTCATTTTGCCTTTTTTTTTAACAATGATTTTATAGCGATTCATCCCCTAGAAAGAGGCATTGTTCACAGATGCTAAAGCTGACTTGGCGATAGCATCAGCATCAACATTCCAACTCCGAGGAGTAAAAGAAAAGGAGATAGAGTCAAAGGATCTGCAAAGACAGAAAATATCCTGGAGTATATTCCTCTAAGTTCCAGAGGAGAACTCCCTGAATTAAGCGAGGTAACGAGACCTTGCAATATGATTATGTAATTGAAAACTGAAGAAAACTAGTAGTAGTATACCTTCAATTTGTTTGTGCGGAATTAAGTATCATTTTCAAGGTATACATCTTACTTTAAAGGACAGAGGATCACATATACATGTGTGATTATGTGTGAAATCATATATATTTATGTTGTCAAGATTGTCTAAGTATTAAATTAAATGTAAGAATCTAGGCGCTTTGGAAACATTTATTTTTCTTACAAGGTTTTTTTTTTTTTTTAATCATATTTGGGTTCCCAGTTTTTTGACTCGGAGAACAATTCACGCCGATCGATGAACCGACACAGAGCATACTTGGAGTAGGATGCTCCCATCGTATATAATTTTTTTACATACAGATGCAATTAATGATATAACTAGTTGCAATATATAATTATGATAATCCATTTATCCCTAAAGAACCGCAGAGTTGTCTATAATTTGCTTGAGATCTTCAAATTACAGAAATTACAGGGACTTATTGTCATTGGTTAATCATATTTAATTTGTGCTTTATGACCTTCGTGATCTCGATTCTTAAGCACAGTCATTTTTTTTTGTTAAGTACTACATTCATTTTCTTGTATGTTCATAATCATAACCAACACTCGATATTTAGATCTTCATGTATATTGATAGAGGCTTCGCGGATCAAATAAGTATATATATTTGTTATGTTTTTTAATAAATAATATCACTTTTGTTATATTTTTATGTTGTGTAAAAAATACAAATTTTGCTAAAAAGTTTTGTCACTAAATCGCATTAATTATCATATATCTTTTTCTGTATTAATTTTTTTTCAATAAAATTTAAATAAAATATACACTAAATATAGTGATCATATTAACTATATTTTTGAACATTTATAATTATATATTTTATTATATATTATTTTTCTTTCTATTTATTTTATTTTTTAAACAGTTAATTTTTTACTAAAAAATTTGATATTATAAAACTTACAATTGTATAATAGTGAGAAAGTAACAAACCATTCAATAAAATATAGAAAAACAAACCGTTATTACTACTAAAAACATTAAAATAAAAGTATATTAATTATCTCATAAAATCTAAAAATAATGTAGAAAGTTCTAGCAATATTTTTTTATTTTGCTACCGCCTCGTTTTCTTCATCTTCTGTTACTCTAAGTGCTCTGCATCTTGTTCTAATTTTGTTTTTCAAAACTATATATATATTTTTTTCAAAAATATCATATATATTCATAAACAAAGTTATAAAACTATTATTTTTTTCCAAATCAGAAATCCATCCGGGTCGGGTTTTTGTCGGTTCACCGGGTTTAAACAGGCTTTTCTGGATTTAAGCGGTTTAATAGCATTTCGGGTTTTCAACAAAAATCAAATCGGAAATTTTGCCGGATTGCGGTTTAATCGGTCGAACTGTCCGGTGCAGTCCGGGTTGAATTTTATTTAAAAAATTAATACAGAGATATTTTTATATGAAAATATTAAGATATTTCTACCATAACGTTTTCTTTTGACTTTCGAATAATCCCGAGAAAACTACGAAAAAATATTAATACCTGATGTTTTTTTTTTCTAAAAAAAATATTAATACGTTGGTCGGCTACATATAGCTGAGGAAGTGTGCACATATCACCACCATTGTATAATTAACTTTTAACTATACTTTGTTATAAATAACAACTGATAGATTTGTTCTGTTGGTTCACTTCGCATAAAATCTCACGATGTCTTTAGCTCTCTCTTTTGCTTGGCTTTCCTTTTTTCCATTTGCCATGGTTCTCATAGCTTACCTGCACGACGAAGTCCTCATCTTGATGGTAAGACCATTTTTAATCTTCATGTAACTGTCGATGTTATTTATGGTATTCAGGTATTATATCATTATTTTTTAAAAATAATGATATCAGAGAAAAAACAGTTTGGTCATTTTGAAATTAAAGTGTTGTAAACCCAATACATATAGCGTTAAAAGTTATTTCAGTAAAGAAAATTATTTGGCGTTTCAAATGGCCAGTGTGTTCTTTCAATTTATTTATTATTTACTGTCTATGACTCAACATTACGGGGTTTTTGCAATACTATAATACAAACGATTAGATTACATCCAACATTTTTAACTAAACGGCAGAAATTTGGTGTAATAAGCCAACTATACCAAATAGATTCATATGTTAAAGTTTTAACATTGGATAAAGTGGGGATTTGGCTTTCCATGTTCATGCAGGGCTGCTTCCAAATGGAAATTTTGAGCAAGTTCCTGACAAATCAAACATGAGAAAGAAGCAAATAATCGGAAAATACTCTCTTCCTCATTGGGAAATCTCCGGCCACGTGGAGTTAGTCTCCAGCGGTCTACAGCCGGGAGGTTTCTATTTTACGGTGCCACGTGGAGTCCACGCGGCTAGGCTAAGAAACTTAGCCTCAATATCTCAGCATGTAAGAGTGAAGCATGGCTTGGTCTATTCTCTAACGTTTGAGGTCACGTGTACTTGTCCTCAGAACGAGAACATACGAGTCTCCGTGCCTGGTCAGACCAATGAGCTGCCGGTCCAGACGCTGTTTAGTACTAACGGTGGAGATACGTACGCTTGGGCTTTCAATGCAACGTCTGATTTGGTTAAGATCACATTTCATAATCTTGGTGTTCAAGAGGATCCTTCTTGTGGTCCTCTCGTTGACGTTGTTGCCATCAAGGAAATTCTTCCCCTCCGGTATAACAGAAATAACTAATAACCGGGTCAATTTCGGTTTACCTGTGTCCATGTTATCAATCCGAACTTTGGTTGGTTAGATTTTCATTTTTGTTATTCCGCATTTCTCATCTTAGAAGAATAGTGGCGAATGCATAACCATAATCTAATCTACCATGGTTTAGGATAATTTTATTACATATAGTTAGGATATGTTTTTATCAAAAAGCAGTTTTTTTTTTTAGGAATTCTTATCTATATCAACCCGGGTTTAAATGGGTTTTAGAATTTTTTTTTTTAGATCAACTATGTGTTTTGATGTTTAAATTAGGATAATAGGATGTACGATCATCACTTTAACCAAAATATTCCCACGTAAATTTCTTCCAGATTTCATTTTTACAATTTGGTCCCTTATCTTCTAAACTGTTTGATGTTTCATTCTTAAAACTTATTTTCTATATTTTCAATGTAATAAATTAGGAAACCTTGTAAAAAACGGCGGATTCGAGATCGGTCCACATGTATTCAAGAACCTCTCTACTGGGGTCTTGATCCCGACGAAGATACAAGATCTGATCTCACCGGTACCGGGATGGATCGTCGAGTCTCTTAAACCGGTTAAATACATTGATAATGGTCATTTCAATGTCCCTTCAGGACTCGCCGCAATCGAGATCATTGCCGGGAGAGAAAGCGCCATAGCTCAAATCATCCGTACCATCGCCGGTAAACACTACATCCTCTCGTTCGTTGTTGGAGACGCACACAACGGCTGCCATGGATCGATGATGGTGGAAGCGTTTGCGGGAAGATCGGCGTTTAAGCTTCAGTTCGAATCTAATGCAAAAAAAACGTTCAAAGCGGGACGTTTCACATTTTGCGCCGTTTCGAACCGCACGAAGATTAGTTTTAACAGTGGGTTTTATCATACTAAGCCCCATGATTTTGGACAAATTTGTGGACCTGTGCTCGACAATGTTAGAGTTGTTATGACCCGTTAATATCTATTGGAAATATGATCAGGAATTTTGGGATACGCGTTAATAAATAGATTATTATATATCTGTAAGCAACGTTATTCAAACATTTTACAAAGTCGAATGGTTGGATTTCAACTATGTTTTCTATATAGTTTTAAGAATTAAGATACATATTTACGTTTAATGTGTCATATTACCTCCAAAAATTTATTTTGACAAACAAAAGATATTCAAATACACTCACTGAACAATATTTCAAATCTGTGGATCTCCTGATTAGATATTTTACTTAGTAAAAAGGCGTTTTCATCAAAGGAATGAAAAGAAATAAAAAAAAAATTCAAAACCACAATTAAGATTAAATAATTTTTTTTTTTTAGTCTGTGGACGCAAATTTGACTTAAAGAGCAAATCATGGCGATGATTAAATCAAAGCAGAGACCAAATGTGGACTTCTGGAGCTCCCTTTCATATCCCTTGTGTACACACATGCGCGCATTTAATTGTAAATCTCGCCCATAATTTTCTTTGTTTAAACGTTAAGCTTTTTTGCCGATAAAAAAAGAGTTAAACTTTTTTTATATTATAAGCTAAACGTGAAGCTTTATTAAACACAACACTTTACTACGTCGACTGCAGAGAAAAGAACCAAAAAGTTGACTATGATTTGCTAACGTATGATTCAATATATATATATATATATATATTTATATATATATATATAATTAACCAGATTCCGATAATTTAAAGTTCGTTAAATAGTTAAGTAAATCATGGTGCATTTAATAATGAGCAATATAATATTTTTTGCCCCTAGGACTCATTGTTTAAATTTTAAATTGCATTTTCTCGTTTATTTGGCATTTCAGTATTTCGGGTTAAGATTCGATCATAGGTCGTGAATTAAACAACAACAAAATTGCTACCATTTAGGTTTATCTAGCTAATGTAGATAAATTGGATGGAATTAATTAAAGTAAATAACCAAATGGCTTTTTGTTCTTTCACATTTGTAAAATCAAAGTTTTCATTTATTTTAACTGCAATAAAACGAAAGAAAGCTCACCATTCATCAAACACGTTGAATAAACGATTGGACTTTTATTATTTTTGATTTTGTTTTTATAATTACATGATCACCTCAATATCGCTGGTGATGAGCTACGTACGTACTATTACTAATCAAATCGTAGAAATATTCGACGTGTCAGAGATTCGTGCTTGGAAAGTTCGTCTCATAATTTTCAGCGCCATATATCTTAATGAACACAAAATACTGAGATTATGCAATTAATTAAAAATTGAAGAAAACTAGTCTTATGCAACCGAATTAACATGACAGACAATGAGTCACACAATGCGGCTCGTAAGGTGCGGTCTTTCAACGTGGTCCGAGTTTCCCTTTCGCATCTACTCTATTATACGTCTACATAAAAGCTAAAACTATTAATTATTTACTCTTTAAACAAACAGTTTTATTGTACATTATATTAATGCTTCCTTCTAAGTTCTAATATTTCCAAAAAATATATATGATGCTTCCTTCTAAGTTCTAATATTTCATGTGTTACTAAGTACTAACTACCCCTATATATACAGCTACATGGACCTCATTGATATAGGCGTACTAATTAACAAGACTTGTCTTAACTTAAAAATGTCTCTCTATCACTCTCTTTGCTTTGTCCTCCTCCTCATCCTCTCTCTCTGCCATGGCTCTCACAGCCTCCGACCACGTCGTCCACGTCGAACTCCTCATCTCGATGGTAAGAAATAAGAAAACAAACCATTTTTCTTATTCATTAACTAATCTGATAAATCTAAAATGTAATACTATGGTTTATATCTAACAGGGCTACTCCCAAATGGCAACTTTGAGCAAACCCCTCTCAAATCGAACATGAAAGGTCGACAAATAATCGGCACAAACTCTCTCCCTCACTGGCAAATCTCCGGCCACGTGGAGTTAGTTTCCGGTGGGCCACAGCCCGGAGGGTTCTACTTCCCGGTCCCACGTGGGGTCCATGCGGTTAGGATAGGAAACTTAGCTTCCATCTCTCAGGACGTGCAAGTGAAGCGTGGTTTGGTCTACTCTCTAACGTTTGGAGCCACGAGGAGTTGCGCTCAGGACGAGAACATCAAAGTCTCCGTACCCGGTCAGGCCAACGAGCTTCCGATCCAGACCGTCTTTAGCTCAGACGGTGGCGACACTTACGCTTGGGCTTTCATGGCAACGTCCGATGTGGTTAGAGTCACTTTCCATAACCCTGGTGTTCAAGAGGACCACACTTGTGGTCCCCTCGTTGATGCTGTCGCTATCAAAGAGATTCTTCCCGTCCGTTATAACGGAGGTAATTGCTCCTGAATCAGTGCAGGACCGGTTCAGATCCGGTTTATTTTTATGTGGAGTTCGGTTTTGCACTTTGATCCTTGTATTTTAGCTTTGTGTTTATGTTTACCCTGTGTTTTTAATCTGTCTATTTATATTAGGAAACTTGGTGAAAAACGGCGGATTCGAGATTGGCCCACATGTATTCGCTAACTTCTCGACCGGAATCTTGATTCCGGCGAAGATTCAAGATTTGATCTCACCGCTTCGTGGTTGGATCATCGAGTCGCTAAAACCGGTGAAATATATCGACAGTCGCCATTTCAAAGTTCCCGATGGACTCGCCGCCGTGGAGCTAGTCGCCGGAAGAGAAAGTGCAATCGCTCAGATCATACGTACCGTCGCCGGAAAAGCATACATGCTCTCGTTCACGGTGGGAGATGCGCAAAATGGCTGCCACGGTTCTATGATGGTGGAGGCGTTTGCCGGGAAAGAGCCGTTTAAGCTTACTTTCGTGTCAGAAGGTAAGGGAGACACTAAAACGGGGCGTTTTAGATTTGTGGCCGATTCGGATCGCACCAGGTTAACTTTTTACAGTGGGTTTTATCATACCAAGCTTCATGATTTTGGTCATCTTTGTGGGCCTGTTCTTGATAGTGTTATTGTAATTCCGACCCATTAAGGGATTTGGTGGTTCATATAATTCTTGTATTCAGACTAAATGTTACAATAAGAAATGCGATCTCTGTAAAACTGTATCAAAATGAATGTGATATTGTGATGTGATGCATTGTTATCGATCTATATTACCAAAAAAAAAAAATTCGGAGTGGAGAGTTCTGATGTATAAATGTATGTGATATATATATTGTGATCCAAAGTAATAATTCTTTATGTAGATATTTTCTTACTCAAAATTTACGAGATACCAAATCACACAATTGTTTGTCTTGATCTATATCCCATAATTTTATGAATGTAGTTGCTTAAAAAATTGTGACCGATTCGAACTGAAGTCTGATATAAAAACAGTAAGAAGTTAAGTGTTTTACAAAGACTTTCTTAAACCCAAAAAAAAAAAAGAAGAAGAAAGTTTTACAAAAACATCATTGTTCAACAAAAAAAAAGTTCTACAAAAAAAAAGTTCTACAAAAACCAATTACGTATGAATTTTGTATGACTTGAGTTTGTGCTACACTGTTGGATTTGGATGACGTGGCAAAACGTATGCCGTTGTTTAATTTTGAGACGTAGACTTGAGCACAGCGGATAATTCCTCTCTGCTCCTCCTCTGTATATCTCTTCTGTCTTCTCCAAGGAGCTAAGTAAAAGAAAACGAAGAAAAAAGACGCCGATTATATGTACATAAGAGCAAAGAAGACCCACCGAAGACGAAACTATCCTAAATCGTAATCGAACGAAGATGGCTGTCGAGAAATTGAACTCGACGGTGGACGGTGTCGAGATACTGAAGCCACGTACGGACAACAGAGAATATCGGAGGATTGTCCTCAAGAACTCTCTCCAAGTCCTCTTGATCAGCGATCCCGATACCGACAAGGTGTGAGATCGATAATATTTCAATCCTGATATTGATTTACCTTTAATTTTGATTCCTTTTACTAATTCAACAAAGTTTGATTTTTTCTGTTTCTTCTAAAGTGTGCTGCTTCAATGAGCGTTAGTGTCGGATCCTTCTCTGATCCACAAGGATTAGAAGGCTTAGCTCACTTCCTTGGTACGTCGAATTTTTCAAAGTTTTTTTCTTTTTGTAATTTTGAAATGTGTACCATCTTTAATTCGTGTGCTCAATAGTTATTATTTGCAATGGAATGATTTTGTTTTTGTTGTTGTTTTTGTTGTTAGAGCATATGCTATTTTATGCAAGTGCAAAATACCCAGAGGAAGATAGTTACTCCAAGTACATCACAGAGGTAATATATATCCTTATACTCTCCGAAACTAAAACTCGAGACTTTGTTCTCGAGTCTGAGTCTTCTGTTAATTCCACACGTTATAAATTTCTGAGAAATATGAAATTTTCTTGGTGTAGCATGGAGGCAGCACAAATGCATATACATCCTCTGAAGAGACAAATTACCATTTTGATGTTAATGCTGACTGTTTCAATGAGGCTTTGGACAGGTACATTTTTTTATTTATTCTCGCTTGCTGATTAATCTTCTCTATTCTCTTACCATCTTGCTTTTGTAAGTTTCTTATGCGAGTGTATTTATCAGATTTGCTCAGTTCTTTATCAAACCACTAATGTCAGCTGATGCCACCATGAGGGAGATAAAGGCTGTTGACTCAGGTTCGCTTTTTTTTTTTTTCCTTATGTTTTATTTTCGTTTCTTGCTGTAGTCCGTGAACTTAACAGATTATAACGAGTTTTCTTTATCCAGAGAATCAGAAAAACTTACTCTCTGATGGTTGGCGAATGCGACAGGTATAGCTCTGGTTTAAAGAACAATTTTGAGTTCCTTTTATTTGTTCCGACCCATTTAGATGGTACTATCTATGTTGAAGGATGCATTTGAGCAATTCATTAATTAAATGATATAACTAACATCCCAAAACATTTTAACTTCTATTTCTTTCTGTCATTTTCTTTGATAACAGTTACAGAAGCATCTAAGCAAAGAAGACCATCCGTTTCACAAATTTAGCACAGGTCTATAATCTAACTTTTTTTTTCACATATTTTCATGGAATATATATTATGATGCATATGAATAGTCAGTTGTGATTCCAATCCTTTTCTCATGCTAAAAAGTGAGATTTCTGCTGCTTAGGAAACATGGATACACTTCATGTGCGACCCCAAGCGAAAGGAGTGGATACAACGAGTGAGCTTATTAAGTTCTATGAAGAACATTATTCCGCCAACATCATGCACCTGGTTGTATATGGGAAGGGTATGTTTTGTTGCTAACACGAAAATTCAAAATTCCCTTATTTCTATTAAAATAGGTAACAACAATTCTAATACTTTTGCTCTGGGTTCAGAAAGCCTAGACAAAATTCAAGATCTTGTGGAAGGGATGTTCCAGGAAATCCAAAACACCAACAAAGTTATCCCTAGATTTCCTGGACAGCCATGTACTCCAGACCATTTGCAGGTGTTTGTTCCTTTCCACAAATTTAGAATTTTTATTTTACATGAACAAAATATATGCTAATTTCTGAGGTGCTGTTGTTTTATTTCGGTTTTAGATTCTTGTGAAAGCTGTTCCTATAAAGCAAGGACACAAGCTCGGTGTTTCATGGCCTGTAACTCCAAGCATTCATCATTATGAAGAAGCACCAAGCCAGTACCTTGGCCATCTAATTGGACATGAAGGCGAAGGAAGTTTGTTTCATGCCTTGAAAACCTTGGGTAAGCTTTCTTTGTGGCATACTAATAATTTTTTTTGTTCTAGTATCTTGGCATGGAGTATAAGCTGCACAAAAAAAAAAATGCAGGGGGCCTCAACTAATTTCTGAAATAGATAATAGGGGGGGATTTCATTTTAGGGAATCATTATAGAAAATGGGCGTCTTTGAGTATACAAAACTCTTGGGTAGGACGTGTTGCTGATTTGCTCTTTGTAATACAAATGCTGAATTCGTACATTTAGAGGTATTGCTTAATTCTTCTTATTGCTTGCAGGTTGGGCAACGGGACTCTCGGCTGGTGAAGGAGATTGGACTCTAGATTATTCTTTCTTCAAGGTTTCGATTGACCTTACTGATGCTGGTCATGGTGGGTTTTTCTACTGTATCTCTTTCAATTCTAGGAAAGTTCACAAGAGTCTTCTTCTTTCTTGTGTTGAATAGAGAGTATGGGTGTGTTTGATATTTAGTATGTACATGACAAATTCCTGGTTTTCCACCTTTGTGGGTTTACAGAGCATATTCAAGATATTATAGGGTTGCTGTTCAGATACATTCAGCTATTACAACAGACTGGTGTTTGCCAGTGGATTTTTGATGAGGTATGGCTATACTGATTTTTTTTTTTTTGACTTTGATCGTGCAAGTATTTCCTAATGATTCAGTCTCCGTCTAGAGTTTGATACATCTCTTTTTGTTGTTGAAGCTCTCAGCTATTTGTGAGACCAAATTTCATTATCAAGACAAAATACCACCAATGTCCTATATAGTGGATATTGCATCAAACATGCAGGTAAATATTATTTTGCTCTTTAGCTTTTTCGTAAGCTTTCTTAATGTGGCCTATACATATGACTGCTGAATATGCTTGAGTTCTTGTATCCTTAACAATGAACAAAAATAAGAATACATGCTTAGCTCTGTTAACATGTCATCAACTATTACATAAGTTATGTACTGAAACGGAAGTTTGGTAATCTATATCCTGAAAGCACAAACCCAAGTTCATGGCTAATATATAATATATATCCTTTTTTTTTTGTTTTAATATTCTGTATCCTCTTCAATTACGCTTCAGATATTTCCGACCAAGGATTGGCTCGTTGGATTATCACTGCCTTCTACATTTAATTCAGCCACTGTACAAAAAGCTGTAGATGAGCTTTCTCCTAGTAATGTTCGGTAAGTGTGTGATCTTTAACCCTATTATACACTAAATTGATGATGAAATCACGGGTCACCTGATCCATAAGCTAATTCTACATTTGTTTCATTTACTCTTAAAATATCTGTGGAAGACAGGCATATGATCGCTAATTTATTCGATATATCCGTTACATTTTTGCAGTTACTTTGTCCATCCCCTGTCATGCTATTATAGTTTACATGTTGTTAAAGCTTTGGAATTCATTAAGACGAACTCTTGTCGACGAATCTTTATTAATGCCATTGCTTTTGTAGAATCTTTTGGGAATCACAGAAATTTGAAGGACAAACTGACAAGACGGAGCCATGGTATAACACTGCCTATTCTCTTGAGAAGATAACCAGCTCCACCATTCAGGTTCGCATTTCATATGTTAATACTTATTCAAATGATTCATTTATTTCCGACGTACCTATCTCCTCCATTTCAAATATTATTTGAACTATTGCTTTTGCCTTCTTAATCTTTCGGATTTATGTAAAATAATTACAGGAGTGGGTGCAGTCTGCCCCTGATGTAAACCTGCATTTACCAGCGCATAATGTCTTCATTCCTACAGATTTCTCATTAAAAGATGCCAAGGACAAGGTTCAAATTTCACCACACAAGTTACAAGTTTCTTTTTGTATCTTAAATTTATAAAGCAGTCTTCTTATGTGATCAAGTTGTTGAACAGGAGACTGTCCCAGTTTTGTTGAGAAACTCGCCTTTCTCAAGATTGTGGTACAAGCCAGATACGATGTTCTCGAAACCAAAGGCATATTTTAAGATGGATTTCAACTGCCCACTTGCAGTCAGCTCTCCTGACGCAGCTGTTCTTACGGATATTTTTACGCGGTTATTGATGGACTATCTAAATGAATATGGTAAGATCTACTTACTCGGTACAACCCTCGATAATTTTCTTTCCACTAGAGGATTTTTCTTGCGGAGTTATTCGAGAGAACTGTATGCCAAATGGAACTAAGCTTCTGAAATTGGCAAATTTGTCCTATCTCACGCAATATGGAACTGTATGCCAAATGGAACTAAGCTTCTGATTGGGCACTTCTTGTAGCTTTTAGCTTTGTTGTATGTCACGAAGACAAATGAAAAATTGGAATATATAAGTAAAAGAAGGGGATTGATGAATAAAAAAGAAGAGTAAAAAAAACTAGCTTTCTACGTGGGTTTTATATCGTGAGATTTGCCCACTTACTCTGCCTTTTCTATGTTCTAGCTTATTATGCACAAGTCGCTGGTCTTTACTATGGAGTGAGCCTTTCGGACAATGGTTTCGAGGTGAGTTTTGTATTTACCTCATTTATACCACACGCATTTGCTCGTCCTTTGCGCTATGCCTTTTTTTTTTTTTGTAATATTTATCTCTGACTGACTGTTCTGTTTCTCCCAGTTGACCCTTCTTGGTTACAATCACAAATTGAGGATCTTGCTGGAAACTGTTATTGAAAAGATAGCAAAGTTTGAAGTTAAACCTGACAGGTTTTCTGTTATCAAGGTGAGGCTTCGTCTCTCTTTATAACTTAAGTTACCAGTTGGACGATGTTCTCTGTACCAGGGTTATTGTATCTGCGTAATTATTTTTCCGTATTCTTTACTAGGAAACTGTCACAAAGGAGTATCAAAATTACAAATTCCGTCAGCCATATCACCAAGCAATGTATTACTGCTCACTCATATTACAAGATCAGACCTGGCCGTGGACAGAGGAACTAGATGTCCTTTCTCATTTGGAAGCTGAAGATGTAGCTAAGTTTGTCCCAATGTTGTTATCAAGGACATTTATTGAGTGTTATATAGCAGGTATTGAGATTACGTTTTTTTTTTTTTTCCATGGTATTCTTTCGTGGTTTTGATGGATTCTGTGTCGTGTTTTTCTTCTTCTTCGATCGGAAGTTGACTTGGTGTTCAAACATATCTATTGTTCATTTCAGGTAATGTGGAGAATAACGAAGCTGAGTCAATGGTCAAGCATGTTGAAGAAATTCTATTTAATGAAACAAAGCCGATTTGCCGACCTTTGTTCCCATCACAGCACCTGACTAATAGAGTTGTAAAGCTCGAAGAAGGAATGAAGTATTTCTACCACCAAGATGGCTCAAACCCCAGTGATGAAAATTCTGCTCTAGTGCACTATGTTCAGGTACTCCCTTGTTCAGGTTTAGAGTTTAGTTATTGTTTTTTGTTAGCTTAGAACATATCTCCTGAGACTATACTGTTGTGGCTAAATGAAATTTTGTTTGCTACGAACAGGTTCATAGAGATGACTTTGCTATGAATATTAAACTTCAACTATTCGGTCTTGTTGCAAAGCAAGCCACCTTTCACCAGCTTAGAACGGTCGAGCAACTTGGTTACATCACTGCACTTGCTCAGAGGTATATTTGAATCTTTCTCCCATTTCCTAATACACCCCCTGAAATCTATCTAATCACGCTTTTCTCTGCAACGTAGGAACGATTCCGGCATATATGGTGTACAGTTCATTATCCAGTCATCAGTGAAGGTACCAAACCATCCTGCCGCTTTAGTCTGTTGGAAATTTCTTTAATAACCCTTAATTCTCTTGTCTGTAACTGCCTCGGGTATATATTGGTTTTAACAGGGTCCTGGACATATTGATTCGAGAGTGGAGTCATTACTGAAGAACTTGGAGAGTAAACTTGGCGAGATGAGTGATGAAGAATTCAAGGTGAGATGGGTGAACCAGTTAGTTTATATATCTCAAGTAATCTTGCTATGCAATATGTTCATTAGCTGACATGAGTTACTCTTCCTCAAGAGCAATGTGACAGCTTTGATAGACATGAAGCTTGAAAAACACAAGAACTTGAAGGAGGAATCCCGGTTTTACTGGCGAGAGATTCAAAGTGGAACACTGAAATTCAACCGCAAAGAGGCTGAGGTACATACATATACACCTTCCTCCTATCTTCTAAACTAAGAAAACCGGCTCTTGAATCAACCACCCATGCATAGATGATACTTGCTCGAATAGGTTGAATCACTTGTAGAATTACTTCAAGTTAGTATGGGAGCAATTAATTGATGAGAGAAACGGGGTTTCTTTGTGGACAGGTTGATGCACTGAGGCAGCTTCAGAAGCAAGAGTTGATAGATTTCTTCGACGAGTACATAAAGGTTGGAGCAGCAAAGAAGAAATCGTTGAGCATAAGAGTATACGGGAGCCAGCATTTGAAAGAAATGGCGAGTGACAAAGAAGAAGTCCCATCACCATCTGTTGAAATCGAAGATATTGTTGGTTTCAGAAAGTCCCAGCCTCTTCACGGCTCGTTCAGGGGATGTGGACAACCCAAACTGTGAGGGCTGTACCTCATTTCATCATACAAATACTATTTTTTTTTTTTCTTTTATCCCTTCTGGCTGTAAGAAGAATCAATATCGGTTGAACCTAAATTTGGCATCAATGGCTAGAAAACAGAGTTTCAATCATCTAGCGATTTGATGATACCAAATTCGAGAAAACATTGATTATTCTTAATAAGATTGTAGCCTTTGTCGAAAAATCCAGAGATTCGGAACACAAAGTAATTTTATAATGATTGATTCATCAGTTTCCCGCCTTTCTTGGCGTTTTACCCTTCTCGTCTCCATCCTTTCTTGGCTTTTCCTCACACTCTCTGATTTATCGTCCAACACATCTTGAAACAGAGCAAAGCTCGTTGTGTGTTGCACCATCCTCTGTTTCAGCTGATAAAAAAGGAACAAATTAGCTGAAACAGAGGATGGTGCAAAACACAACGAGCTTTGCTCTTTTTCAAGATGTGTTGGACGATAAATCAGAGATTAGCGGAAAAGGGTTGGTTTGTTGGGGAAGAGTTATGTTTCTTCGGTTTCTATAGGTATCTTTAGAGCTGGTTCAGTTGCAGCCATGAAATGCATAGCAAAATCGAGCTGCAAAATCCCGATGAATCTAAGTTTTTAAAAGGGTTGAAGAAGCTGACATTTCTGAAGCATGATAACTTAGTGAGGTTGAGATTTAGCTTGGGAAGGTTTTGCTGCTCGGAGGCAAGTGCACTTTAGTGGCCAGTGCGTGTATGGTCATTGGAGACATTTACGATTATGAAAGAACGCATGTATATATATTTAATCTTTGTAACTAGCTGAAATTGTTTTTCTGGTTCATTCAATGAACTTCATTGGTTCTAGACTATAACAATATATATACTGTATATATTTACTATCACAACTTCATCGTTATAGTTTTCAGTATAATAACCTATATGGCTATATCACAACCAACTCATAACGTATATAAACAGAAGGTGAGAGAAGGAGGATAAAGTCTGACCTGCATCAAGCACCAGCTTAGTTTGTCATGCAATCAATCTACAGAGAAGATAGAGAAGCATATTATGAAAAAATGACAAATCCATTTGATGAAAATCAAGACTTTGTACCTTGTAAATAAAGGGCTCATGCTTTCCTCCTGCGCCAGACCTCTTCACATAACCCATCTTCAACAGCCTGTAACAGGATATATGAACAATCATGCAAAAAACCTTTAAAATTTGTGCATCCATGTCTTATATTCCAAAACTAAGCTTGTTTGATGGAACCTTCATCATGTTAAATGTCCTGTCACAATGTCTTGCCTCTCTGTTATGTTTGTGTGTGAGAGTCTAAGGAGAATTAAGGACACAGAGAGAGAGAGAGAGAGAGAGAGAGAGAGGCAGAGTGTATATACATTCTGAGAGCTTTGCTAGTATCTGCACTATCTCCCAGCACCTGACGGATCTTAACTTCAGAGGAGCAGCTGGTGGAGAGAAACTCCATGATCTTTACTGCCCTACGGCGAACGGAACTCGACCTGTGACTTTCTTTCTTCTTTGATTCTCTGTATGGCTTCTCATGACTTGTAATTTTGATTCTGCTTTCTGTGCTTGAGATCTCACTTGAACCGGTAGACAAACACGATTCCTCTTTGGAGTCGCTAGAGAGAGCATCAAACTCTGGATTCTTTGTCGGCTTCAAATCAGCTGAGCTCCAAATCACTTTTGTGCGAAGTTTTTTGGCAATCTGCAAAGGACTCTCAGTCATGGAAAAATTGAATCAAATCCCCAAAATACTATAAAGGATCTAAACGGATATTAGCTCTGTTCAAGTATATTCAAGACGAAACTCAAAAGTTCCCGAGACAAAAATTCAAATTCCAGAAAGATCAGTTTCTGGGAAAATTAACATAAGTCCAGATTTTGAAAATCATGAACAAACCACTGATACCGCTAACAAAAGGAAAAATCAGCGCAAAAATCGAATTCAACATAGAGTAATCCATAATATAGCGAATCAAAATCCAAAACAAAACTTCCAAAACCGAGATTGATGATATCGCACCTTGAAATTCATGATGTCACCCTCAGATCTCTTCCGAGACGAGTCGTTGTTGGAGATAGACGAATCGCACGATCTCGTTCCAGTAGTCACGAAGCTCAAGCTCAAGCTTCCTTGACCGTAGCTTTCACCCATCGAGAAACATTTCCCCTCAGATCCAGATCTATCACTATCCAAAGCGATTTTTCGGAAACAGCAAAGTAGAGAGAGATTAGGAAGAGAAGCATTTCGACTTCGAGCTTCATAATTTGGAATCAAAACCCAAAGACATACGTAACGTTACGCTACCTTGAAGAAGAGAAGACCAACGGCCCAGAGGAAAGGAGGAGAAGAGAAGATGCCGCTTCACTATCGATCGAAGAAGGAAACTCAGACATCTCCGATCTTAACTTCGAAACCAAGTTTTCTCTGCCTTTCTTCTACTGGCGCGATGATCAGAGCTCCTTTCTAATTTTTGAATTCTCTGTCTCTGTTCTCTCTCTCTTTCTCAGAGTAAAATAACATCTCCCTCTTTATGGGCCCTTCTACATTCAAGCTTGGACTACTTATGAGCCCATTACAACAAAATACAATGAGCCCAACGCTGTCTGATCAAAGTAAAACACCGGAATTTTTTTTAGTATGTTTTGTTCTTCCCTCACAAATAAGTTAGACCTCTTAATTATACTAAATTTAATCGTTGGTCGACAAAAAATAAAATAACATCTCCCTCGTTATGGGCCCTTCTACATTCAAGCTTGGACTACTTATGAGCCCATTACAACAAAATACAATGAGCCCAACGCTGTCTGATCAAAGTAAAACACCGGAATTTTTTTTAGTTGGTTTTGTTCTTCCCTCACAAATAAGTTAGACCTCTTAATTCTACTAAATTTAATCGTTGGTCGACAAAAAAAAAAAAAACTAAATTTAACAAATAGTAATAGTTTTTCAAAAGAATTGATCATATATTTCATTTTTGAATATATCAGTTTCTAATTTATGAAAAATAAGAAGATATACACATTATAAAATATTTTCATCCTCGTATCTCTTTTTTTACTACTATTTCTGTAGCAAGTAGTACTACTGTATTCAACCAACATTTGCGTAATTTTATAATAGTTTAGCTTTGCTTCATGTGATGGCTTGCCTGGTCCTACAGATTACAGCAAGAATTACTGTTTAGTTGTCTCTTTGGGGGATAAAGGAAGTTTGCATTGACCTTACAGCTCACAGACTCGGCTTCACTTTCCATGCTTTTGCATTGCATTCAAGCTTAAGCAACGTCAATTTCCAACTACCGCATTACAATACGTTTGCAATTGCAGACCAATTCCTTTCTCTTCAGGTGGAAGAAGATTCACAAATCTCTCAGGGTGTGTGGAATTTCAAGTTTTTCTGATTCACAAAGGTGTTGTTTTTGAAAGAAGTTCTCGGCTTGATCTGATGTTGGTTCAGGATCGTGCGGCTCCTTCTCCTCTCAAGCCGCCGAAATCTCAGATCAGAGAACTGCCTACTCATCAGCAGATCCGACGATTCAGTGAACCCAAAAACCTAGATTTCTCGTCTTGGGTCTCGGAGAATGTCTCCAGAATTGTCATCTTCTTCCTCTTCATCGTCACCGTTGGAGCTTTCTTCTTCCTCTACAACACCACCGACACTGCTTCTCTCCTTTGTTTCCAGTCACAGTCAACTCAGTCGCTTCAATCTCTCTCTCGCCCACAAATAAAGTGGAATTCGATCCGTGTCCTCCCCGACAAGACCTCCCCGTACGCTAATTTCCTGACGGAGAAATGGATCGTGGTGTCGGTGACCAAGTACCCGACCGAGGAGCTCAAGAGCTTGGTGAAGATCCGAGGATGGCAAGTTCTGGCGGTCGGAAACTCAATGACCCCCAAGGATTGGAGTCTCAAAGGTGCCATCTTTTTGTCTCTCGATGCTCAAGCCGATTTGGGTTACCGTGTTTTAGATCACTTGCCTTACGATTCTTTCGTGCGTAAGAGCGTCGGTTACCTTTTCGCGATCCAGCACGGCGCGAGGAAGATCTACGACGCGGATGATCGTGGTGAAGTGATTGATGGAGATCTAGGGAAGCATTTTGATGTGGAGCTAGTTGGTGAAGATGCTAAGCAAGAGCCGATTTTGCAGTATAGTCATGAGAATCCCAATAGGACTGTGGTTAATCCTTACATTCATTTCGGGCAACGTTCGGTTTGGCCTAGAGGTTTGCCATTAGAGAATGTAGGTGACATCAACCACGAGGAGTATTACACTGAGGTTTTTGGTGGCAAGCAGTTTATACAGCAAGGGATTTCAAATGGTTTACCTGATGTCGATTCGGTGTTTTACTTCACCAGAAAAACGACTTTAGAGGCTTTTGATATTAGGTTCGATGAGCATTCTCCTAAAGTGGCTTTGCCTCAAGGTGTGATGGTGCCTGTTAATTCGTTTAACACTCTTTACCATTCGTCGGCCTTTTGGGGGTTAATGCTTCCTGTTTCAGTTAGTTCTATGGCTTCTGATGTGTTGAGAGGGTACTGGGGACAAAGGCTATTGTGGGAGCTTGGTGGTTATGTTGCTGTTTATCCACCCACGGCTCACCGGTTTGATAGAATCGAGGCTTACCCTTTTGCAGAGGAGAAGGATCTTCATGTCAACGTTGGTCGTTTGATAAAATTCTTACTTGCTTGGAGATCAGAGAAGCATAGTTTCTTTGAGACAATCCTTGATTTGAGCTTTGTCATGGCTGAAGAAGGGTTTTGGACAGAACAGGATGTGAAATTCACAGCTGCTTGGCTTCAGGATTTGATTACTGTCGGGTACCAACAACCGAGGTTGATGTCACTAGAATTGGATCGTCCACGAGCAAGTATTGGTCATGGAGATAGAAAAGAGTTTGTTCCTCGGAAGTTGCCTTCGGTTCATCTTGGTGTTGAGGAGACAGGGACAGTGAGCACTGAAATAGGTAACTTGATTAGGTGGAGGAAGAATTTTGGGAATGTTGTGCTTGTTATGTTTTGTAATGGTCCCGTTGAACGCACCGCTCTTGAGTGGAGGTTACTTTACGGCAGAGTATTCAAGACCGTTGTGATATTGTCTTCTCAGAAGAACTCGGATCTTTATGTCGAAGAAGCCAAACTCGATCACATTTACAAGTAAGAATCTTCTCAAGATTATTAGTATATGTTAATCAAAGTTCAAGCTTATAATGGTACGTTTGTATGCATAATTCAGGCATTTACCGAAGATATTTGATCGATACAGCAGCGCAGAAGGATTCTTGTTTGTTGAAGACGATACAATTCTCAATTACTGGAATCTACTTCAAGCCGACAAGACTAAGATTTGGACTACAGACAAGGTATAACATTTCCATCAAAACTGTAGGTTATAGCTTTCTCTATCTTGATATGTATATCTTACATGGAAACTTCTTATTGTAAACCGGCGATTAGGTATCAAAGTCATGGACATCAGTGAAACCGACCGGGAAGTCTGATTGGTTCTCTGTACAAGCCGAGTTAGTGAAGAAAACTGTAAGTACAATGCCGGCTCATTTCCAAGTTAACTACAAGGAAGCTGCCAAGAACAGTCATGACACGTTAACGGTATGCAGTTCAGAGGTATTCTACGTGCCTAAACGATTTGTGACCGACTTTATCGATCTTGTCGATCTTGTGGGTGATATGGACTTGCATTACAAAGTGGCTGTGCCTATGTTCTTCATGTCTATGGATTCACCTGAGAATTTTGACCCGGTTCTTGGTTCGATGGTATATAAGAGGAAATCGTCTTCGTTTAACTCTTCTTCGAGTCTGTATTCTGCGCAAGCACCTGCGGTTCACCCGTGGAGCATATCGAGCGAACAAGATTTCATTAAATTGGTTGGACAAATGGCTGAAGGCGATCCGTTGCTAATGGAATTGGTATAGAGATTGCAGTAATGCAATGATAGAAACAGAGTTATGCAAAGATTGTGTCTTTTGATTCTTTTCTTTTTGGTTCCCTTTTCAGAAATTTTTTTCTTCTGGGGGTTGTGGAGAAAGTCATGTAATGTTCCATTGTAACCATACAATATGTGAGTGTATAATGTTTCCCCATCTAAAATCAATCTCTGCTTCACCAATTAAGACAAAAAGAAATTGTTACAGACAGTTGAAACGAGGCTGGAATTGAAGAGTTGTGACCCAGTTTTGATCCCACAAAGAAGAAACACTGGAATATTAAGGAAGCTTGATGAAGAGATCCTGAAGCTGAGTGTGGCTCACCACAACACCAAGTTTCTGTGAAATTGCGACTCTCACTGTATCGGGATCCAAGCTCGACAATGTATCCGCACCGCTCATGGCAATGTACTCACTCAAATTGTGCAAGATTCCGTCTTCAGAAGCAAGACAAAAACGAGCTGAGGAAAATGAATATTGTTGATGGAAGGTTGATAGTTGTTACATCATACCTTGGGCAACAATGGGCTGATAGGGTGGAGGTTGAGCAGTCCAGCTTCCATCAGGTTCTTTCATGTGTCTTCTATCAGAAGCAAAGTACTTAAAGAAGAGAGGAGCGTGCACAATGCGAAAGAACCTGATCTCAACCAGACAAAAGAATAAACTAGCTACATTATATATTCAAGTAAATGTAAAGGTTCAGGAACACAAGAAGGTAAAGAAGCAAAAGTTTCAGGGTGATAGAAAAGTAATCGCAACAAAAGGCTACTGCTTTGACATCTTGATATAGGTTGCTTAATGGTACAGTAATGCGAAAGTTTAGAACGAGAGTTGTACCTCTGATATTCTGCAAAAAGCTGAAAAGATGGCTGGATAGTTTCAGTCACGTATGAGGCTAAGGGTGAAGGGAAAGGCAAAGTAGAATCGAGATCCCAGACCAAAGGCTCAGAGTCACTTTCTTTCTTCCTCTATTCATGCAAATAGATCAACCAAAATCAAGGGTGATTCGAAAAGCGATACATTGGAACAAGCTTAAAGCTGGTGGCTTGGATCTTATGGTTTTACCTGGACACAGATGACATGATAATCCCACAGTACAATTCCATCAGCTCTGCTACTAGCTTTCTGGTGCCAAAGGGGAACCTACACGAACATCTAACCAACATTATCGATAATGGACAGGAGACATACACACTCTAATTACCAAGCAAGCACATCGAATAGCTGACACTTGAAAATCAACAATCAAAAAAGACGTGAAACAGTGCTTGGGCCAAAGTCCTAACATAAGAAACTATAATGAACAACAATTAGTAAGAGAAACATGCTTGCCTGCTTCTTCTCATTCGAGATGAAAACAACAAACAGATCAGAACCCGTCGCATCAGCTACACCATTCTCGCACAGCGTCTTGCAGAGTAGATACACGTTCTCTTCGCTACAAAAAGAGTCAACATATAGATGCCAATATTTGATTAGGTTCTACTTCTACCAATAACCACCAAATGAAAGTAGATGACTAGATTCCCCAAAAGAGGAACGAAATTAACAAAAAGTTAGTTTTTTTTTCTGGGTTTTGGCAATCATGTAAACAAGTAGAAGAAGCCGTCTGATTATTTGAAGAAATCTAAAACTGCATTGAATTTTGTAAGCGAAAGACAGGCAAGAAGAACCAGTAGTAAGGGGTGTGTTGGAACCGAGTGGCATCCATTGCTGGAAGCTCCGTGGTAATGCTGGACATTTCTTCTTTGGATTTGATCAGTGTTCTTCTCTGTTTTCTTTACATCCAGCTACTTTGATCGTCAAAATTGAAACGCGGTGGGTACAATTGGGAAGAGCTGGGAACTGGTGGTGGGTGATCGGAGAGTCAACAAAAGTAAAGTCCATCGCTTTAACGACGTCGTTTCATAGATACTTCATTACGACACCGTATTTGGTTTATTACTTTTAAGTTTGCCAATTAAAATTGGATTCGCTCGCGTGAGCGAGCAGTGACAATGGAGGAGGCAGACGCGAAACGCCGGCAGATCTGCAGCCGCTGTGACCGTCCAGCTCCGATCTGTCTATGCCACGTCATACCGGCGGATCCAATTCCGACGAGGACAGAGATCCTCATCCTCCACCATCCACACGAGTCACGGCACAAGCTCAACACCACGCCTCTCTTGGTCAAATCCTTAAGCCAAATCACCAGAATCCCCGCCCGCCGTCTCCTCCGGCGACACATCTCCGACGGAGAATCTCTCCAATCAACGCCCACAATCTACCTCTTCCCGTCTTCTCCTTCCTCTCCCGCCGTCACCATATCCGAATTCAAAACCCTGAACCTCCTGAACCATCAAGGCGTCTCGAATCCGCCGCTGAGGCTCATCGTATTCGACGCGACGTGGAAGCACGCGAAGGAGATGGTAAAAGCCAGCGAGGAGGTTCTAAGAGAAGTAGGAGCTGTGAGGGTGTGTTTGGATTCGGGAATTGACGCGTCCGTTAGCGGAGGAAGCATCTACGAGTCGGAGCTGGTGCTAAGGAAGGAGCCATTCGGGGGATGCGTAAGCACGGCGGAGGCGGTGGCGCGGTGTTTGAGAGCAATCGAGCCGGACGGCGAGGAAATCGAGAGGAAGCTGATTAGTGTTTTGAAAGAGATGGTGAGGTTGCAGTCTGAGTACTTGAAACCCATGAAACCAAGGCCTAAGTTACTGAAGAAGAGATTTCAGAGTCGACAACAACCAGTGGAAGATAAAGAAGAAGAAGAAGAAGAAGAAGAATGAGTTTCGTTCCTTTATCGTTTAGTTTTAATTACAAGTTTAGCGGAATTTTTGCTCTGGATTGTTGATGGGAAATATTACATTTGATCCATTGTATTAACTCGTTGTAACTTTCTTACATTAGGAGAAGAACAAATATTCAAACAATTTTCTTAAATTTTGTGAATCTCTCGACACTTTTTGAGAAAGATCGATGCGGTGTTTAGTGGAACAGAACGATTATAGACTTTTTGTAATAACAAGTTGAAAAGAAGAAGAAAAACAATGGGACATGGGACCTTCCACGTGAGGTGAGGCCATGGACTTTTTTTGCGATCATACAACTTTGGGAAGGAAGGTGACACTTTTAATTGCATTACTCACGGACTCACATGATGTGTTTTTTCTGCTTCGATGTTATAATATATGCCTAATTCGCAAAGCACACAATATTCAATCATCAGAAACGTATTTTATAGATTCATGATCCCTTTTTATAGTCCATATTCGAATTAAAGGTAAAAATTAGTCCGAGGCTTGAATGAGTACTCTCTTCTGTATTTGGTTTCAGTTCTGATCGTTAGTGACTGCTTAACAAATAAGAAAACATATCGCTGGTCCGATATATCATTTTTGTTGACTCTATCATAGAGGGAAGTCTTTATGCAATCGAAAATCTGATCGAAACTCTTATCTCTAGTATCTTCCCAACATTTATATATTTTTCGTACCAAACGTATAATGTTACATTTCTCGAATTTAAGGCACATATCTGCTTTTATCTTACTCGTTGTTAAGTTGGTACTGGTTGAAGTTTTGCAATATTGTTTTTAAGAACTTTTCTTTATGATTGAGTGACCTTCAATCCTAATTTTTTATTTATTTCTTGATAGAGTGGTACAAGTAACTTTATCTATTTGTCTACGTGAAGTTGACCCGGCAACTTAAGTTTCAATTTAGTTAAGTAAAAAAAAAATTAAAACCTTTATTGATGAATTGTGGGTTAGATGAATTAAGTGCAAGGTTATGGAGCCCCCGAGGGTGGTCAACCACCATTATGTGCCAGATTCATTTCAAATGTTTTGCATGAGGACTATGTTGTATTATGTATTCAACAATTATGTATTGTAAGTTATTAGCAATAATTAATGACATACTGAACGTATTTCCCAAAGATTTAAAATATAAGAATTTCTCAAAATTGCAATGAAATTCAATTATATATAGATGTATGTACTGTACATTGTTTACTAAACTTAAAAAATGAACAGATTCTTTCATTAATATTGTTAAGATTAGTAGATTCTCTGTTTAAAATAATTCAAATAATTGTGCAACAAGATATTAAATTAAAAAAAAATCATTGATGGTAGCTGATTCTGAAAATCTCTAATACATATTTATATTTATATATGATTATATATACCATATATATATTTCGTATATATATTTCGTATACCCAGGGTCGTGTCTATGTAAGAAAATTGGAAACTTTGGCCTACGAGCCCTTTAAAAAAAATTATGCTTCAATTTTTATGATTATAATAATATTAAAGTCACATGTATCAAAATAATATTTTAGAGTCTTTAAAATAAATTATAATTCATTATAAAAAAACTAAGATATAGTGAAAATAAAGTAATTAACTCGCATATATCATACTCACAATTATTAATATTTTTATTATTAATATGTTAAACTTTTTTCTAATTTTTAGCCAAAAACTTATACTAAATTTTTGTATATTGCTTGCTTCGAGTTTTCATAATTCTGGGCACGGCTCTTATATACCATATATATATTTCGTATATACCAAAAAAATGAGTTAGAGTTGGAAAAAGGAAGTGGAGAGGAAATAACGAGTATCATCCATGTCTCCATGACGGCATGACCTCTGCTAAAAGCGTAAAAGTATAAAATAAGGCTGTTGTTGTACATTTTATCTGACTGTTTGTATTATTTTGATTGTATTCTTTTCTTTTATATATAAGGAAAGTGCTTATCCTTCAAAAGGAGTTCAATCGTGCAAATTCACATGCTAAAAAGGGACACCGTGTCATGCTGAAATAGTGAAATGATGAGACCAATCTCTGCATCAACATATGATGATATACACATATATAATATATCTTCTTATTCATTCTACTTTTCTGTTTCCAACATTTGATAAAAAGTATGTATAATGCATTTGAATAGGTTTTTTTTTTTATCATATGATTTCATTTTTACATTTAGTTTCTTGCAAAATTTTGTATCACTATTTTGTAAATATACATGTTTTTTTAAAAAATATCATATAATTAGGTTGATATTTTTGCCAAAAAAAGAAAACTAGGTTGACAATTATTTATGGTACAAAATTTTCTTCCGACAAAGATATATCCCATAATCTTTTTGTTCGAATAAGTTTTCATCTACTCCAAAAATTCAAAAGCATGTCTTAAATTTGGGTTTAAGTTTCACTGGATTTTTTTATTTAAAATGTGGTAAAAATGAGAAATTGAAAAGCCAACATTGGTCGGTGGATTACGACCGGATCTTTTTCCTTGCCTTAAATTTTGACAAACTCTTAACGTCTTTTCTCAAACCTTTGTCTTCTCCCTCTATCTTCTTCTTCTTCTTCTTCTTCGCCCGGTCGTCGGCAAAAATTCATCTCTCTACTGTAAATCTAAGATAAAAACGTTACCAAAAAGCATTTAAAAAAAAGGTAGAGAGAGAAACGTAATAACACCTCTTTTCAATTATTCATTTCGCTTTCCCTTCTGCTTCTTCCTTAATTCATCTTTTCGTTCTCCTGATCGTCTTCCATTTATTTTTTTATATCGCCAGCTCTTCCTCATCTTTCTTCATCTAGCAGTGCCACACACAGATCTTTTGGCAGGTACTTCTTTGAATCTGGATCGATTTGACTAATGCGTGTGTCCGGATCACCTGAATTTTCGATTTGATTGTGTTCTTACCTTGTTCTGTTCACGATGCTTAATTCTATATGTCTTCCTTCGATTCTCGATCTGCTGAAATTGTTGAATTTTTCTCTTTGCTTGTCTAGTTTTATAAATTCTCGATTTTTTTCCTTCTGGGTATTCTCAACCATCTGTGATCAATTTCTGGAATTCGCAAAAGTTTTGGTTTTTCTCAGAAATGGAGATATTTTCAGAGAGCCATTGCCGTAGTAACGAAATAAAGATTTAAAAAAACGAGATTTTGATAAGATTTACCGATGACCGATGACTTTATTTCTCAGTGATCGATCTCTGTCAGGCTTTTTCTTGGATCATGGAAAATTTTCATGATCACTAGCTTCCGATATTGGATTGTAAACTTGTTTAATAAAGGGAGAGAAATGTTGCGTAATCTCAAATTGTTCACTATCTACATTCAAGTTGAGCCTTTGACGGAGAGAATTTGATTGATCATCTTCTCATATTTTTCCTCTGTTCCATATGTTTTGACTGAACAGGTTCATTGGCGTGTGTAGTTTTATAACTCACACACACACAAAAGCAAAAAGAAAGGATTTGAGCGTTATACTAAATGTCTGGGTCAACAAAAGTATTGGATCCTGCATTTCAAGGAGCTGGGCAGAAACCGTATCCTTTCAGAAAAATAACTACTATTTTTCAATTGCTTTTATATTAGTATTAGATAGTGAATGTTTGGACTGTATAGGATGTTCAACTTAACATTTCTTATAGAGGAACTGAAATCTGGAGAATCGAGAATTTTGAAGCAGTTCCAGTGCCAAAGTCTGACCATGGAAAGTTCTATATGGGAGACACATACATTGTCTTGCAGGTTTGAAATTCCTTCCATTACAAAATCCTTTTGTTATCCTCTGTTTCAAAACAGAGTAACTATGACTTGTATTATTATCATTCACATTGTGTTATATTTATCTTCCATTTGCGCAGACAACACAGAACAAAGGAGGTGCTTATCTGTTTGATATACATTTCTGGATTGGTAAAGATACAAGCCAGGTACCTATTTTCAAGACTTTTTTTTTTCTTTTTTTCTTCTTTTTGGTTATTACTAACTTATGGTTTGATGATGTCAGGATGAAGCTGGAACAGCAGCTGTTAAAACAGTTGAACTAGATGCAGTTCTTGGAGGGCGTGCTGTTCAACACCGGGAGATTCAGGGTCATGAATCTGACAAATTCTTGTCTTACTTCAAGCCATGTATTATACCATTAGAGGGTGGTGTTGCGTCTGGTTTCAAAACACCTGAAGAAGAAGTGTTTGAGACCCGGTTATATACCTGCAAAGGAAAACGTGCTATCCGTTTGAAGCAGGTTTTAACTATTGTACACTCTTCACAGTAGAGAACAGTGATTGCCAATGTACATTAACTTTTTATTCTGTTCTACTTGTTTGTAGGTTCCTTTTGCCCGCTCATCGCTGAATCATGACGATGTATTTATCTTGGACACCAAGGAAAAAATCTATCAGTTCAACGGTGCAAATTCAAACATTCAGGAGAGAGCTAAAGCTTTGGAAGTCGTTCAGTATTTGAAGGACAAGTATCACGAAGGAACTTGTGATGTTGCTATAGTTGGTAAGCTGCATTGCATCCTCTTCCTCTGTTCTCCTCAAGTCAGCAAAAAAGTGTTTGAAAAAGCTTAAAGAACAGTTTATGGGGGTGGCATAGCTTTCACAGATGGTGTTTTTGGGTGGAAACTTATGTATGTTATTGATATCCTTGCGTAACAGATGATGGAAAATTAGATACAGAATCAGATTCTGGTGAGTTTTGGGTCCTCTTTGGTGGTTTTGCTCCAATCGGAAGGAAAGTCGCTAATGATGATGAAACTATCCCGGAGTCAACTCCACCTAAGCTTTATTGGTACTCGTCTTGTTAATTTGTAATCCTTTCATAGTAAACGCTTTCCTGATATTATAATGGAGGTATTGATTAGTTGTTACTCTTTTATTTAGCATCACTGATGGTCAGATGGAACCTATAGACGGTGATCTATCCAAATCTATGCTGGAAAACACTAAATGCTACCTCTTGGACTGTGGTTCTGAGGTATTTATTTGGGTTGGCCGAGTAACTCAAGTGGATGAGAGGAAAGCTGCTAGTCAATCTGCTGAGGTAAAAAAGTGGAAAGCTTGTAGAAATTTTCTCTTTGGCCCTTAGCATATCTATCTCAATCATGGCTTCTCACTCTTTGCGTTTCATCTCCAGGAATTTCTTGCTAGTGAAAATAGGCCAAAGGCAACACGCGTTACACGTGTTATCCAAGGTTATGAGTCCCATTCTTTCAAGTCCAACTTTGACTCTTGGCCATCAGGCTCGGCTACTCCTGGTAACGAAGAAGGACGGGGAAAAGTTGCTGGTAAAACAATACTTTGAAACTCAGATCATTAAGTAAAAAACATTAAGATTATTTTTAGCCCTGACTTACTACTGGCACTGAACCATTTCCCTAGCTCTACTGAAGCAACAAGGTGTTGGGCTCAAGGGTATTTCGAAAAGTGCACCAGTGAATGAAGATATTCCACCTCTGCTTGAAGGCGGTGGAAAGTTGGATGTCTGTTTGTCTACTTTAACTTGTTATCTCCTTATTTTACACATTTTTTTTATGGCTTTATCCAATTTGATATTTCGTAATGTCTACGAATTAGGTTTGGTATGTTGATGGTAAAGCCAAGACTCCGTTAGCTAAAGAAGATATTGGCAAGCTCTATTCTGGGGACTGCTATTTGGTCCTTTATACCTATCATTCTGGTGATAGGAAAGAAGACTATTTCTTGTGCTGCTGGCTTGGAAAGAATAGCATTCAGGTAATTTTACTGTAATTCATGGCAAAATGTGAATCCTTAGTTTCTCTGTTTATAACTGTTATTGCGATGAAGTTTTACTAGTCTATTGTTATGTCAGCTTTATGAACATATTGGGATGGTTTTCATTGATTCAGCTTAACTTAAGTCTAACCATCTAAAAAGCTCTGGTTTCTCCCTTTTCAGGAGGACCAAGACACAGCAGTTAGACTGGCGACTACAATGTCAAACTCGTTAAAGGGAAGACCTGTTCAGGTACTATAATGTTTTCTTTTTATTGATAGCAATGATGAATAGTACTTGAAAGATCGATAAATGATGGAGTCTTCTTCTTGCAGGGCCGTATATACGAGGGTAAAGAGCCTCCACAATTTGTTGCTCTTTTCCAACCTATGGTGGTCCTAAAGGTATTTGTATGGTGTTTGCAAGATGAAGATGAAACTTATTTTTTTCGCAAGAGAAAACACAGAGGTTTATATGGTTTACGTGGACCTTTTTTTAGGGTGGTTTGAGCTCTGGTTACAAAAACAGTGTGGAAGAGAAAGGTTCAACAGATGAAACCTACACACCAGAATCAATTGCACTAATTCAAGTATCTGGGACTGGAGTCCACAATAATAAGGCACTGCAAGTTGAATCGGTACTTGGCTACCTTACCTTGTTTCTTTCTAAGTTAAAAATATTAGTGAACTTGTTATTGTTCAGCTTTGTAATATGGGAGAGGCATATGATTCTTTGATTTGTTATTGTAACTCGTAATTTTGTTTTGGGATAATTCCTTTAGGTGGCAACATCTTTGAACTCGTACGAGTGCTTCCTTCTGCAATCTGGTACTTCCATGTTCCTTTGGCATGGAAATCAAAGTGGGCATGAACTGCTAGAACTGGCCGCTAAAGTTGCTGAATTCTTGAAGGTTAGTTTCAGGTTGTGTTGTTTTCAGTTTAGCTTGAATCCTCCTAAATAGATGCTTTGTAGTTTTACTTGAGACAATGTCTTTTAATATGTTTTAATCATCTTCTGGTTTTGCTAAGCCAGCCTGGGATTACTCTCAAGCATGCCAAAGAAGGAACAGAGAGCTCAACCTTTTGGTTTGCACTTGGAGGAAAGCAGAACTTCATCAGCAAGAAGGCATCCTCTGAGATTGTCAGGGATCCTCACTTATTCTCATTTTCTTTCAACAGAGGTGAATATTTAATAGGATGAGGATTGTGATTCTTTACTCTTATAGATATATATTTTCCCCCATTTATCTGTATTCTAACTGTATCATTTCTTCTCTCAAATGTGTCTGCGTGTATCCCCATAGGAAAGTTTCAGGTGAGACATTGGCGAAATTACACAACTTTCTTTATTCCAGATGCCTTTTTTTTTTTTGCATATATTTTAACAACATGCTCTGCAATAGATTGAAGAGATCCACAACTTTGCTCAAGATGACCTATTGACTGAGGATATATATTTACTTGACACTCATGCTGAAGTATTTGTCTGGGTTGGTCAATGTGTGGACCCTAAAGAGAAGCAAACTGTATTTGAGATTGGCCAAGTAACTATTTCCTTTTCAACTTTTCTTCTCGTTTTGGTTATCTCTTCTTTTTTTGGTACTGTTTTCTCAATGAGACAGTTTATGTGCAGAAATATGTAGATCGTGCTGGATCCTTGGAAGGCTTGTCTCCTAAAGTCCCACTATATAAAATCACCGAAGGGAACGAACCGTGCTTCTTCACCACTTACTTTTCTTGGGATCACACTAAAGCTATTGTAAGATTAGTTTCTCTTTGTTTCAGTGGCTGGCATGAAAATGTATCTGCTTTCAATGAGATGCTAATGTTTAAAGAGAGACTTAGAAAATATTGTACCTCGTGGGTTTTCCTTCACAGTTGCTCTTATTTTCTCCTTAAGTTTACCTTTTGTTCAATGTTTTAAACCCTGTGATATAGGCGCAAGGAAACTCATTCCAGAAAAAAGCAGCCTTGTTATTTGGAACTCATCATGTTGTGGAGGTACTACAACCTTTGCTTTCTCTGTTTCTCTTGGCTTTTGTGCCTGAAATGGCTTAGATAATGGAAAAAACGGTCTTATTACTTTCCGGCTACTTTGGTTCATGATAGTATCCTTCGTCTGCTGATGCAGGATAAGTCTAGCGGTGGAAACCAAGGACCAAGGCAAAGAGCTGAAGCACTAGCTGCCTTAAATTCTGCCTTTAACTCTTCTACTAGCAGGACTGCCTATTCGGTAAATATCTATCTAAACTCGAACTCAATGTAGATATTAGCATATGGTGAGAACTTACCTTAAGTTTCCCAATAAGTAATGTCATCATCCATTTGAACTGCAGAGCCAGGACAGATCAAATGCAAGTCAAGAGGGACCAAGACAAAGAGCTGAAGCTTTAGCCGCCTTGACATCTGCGTTCAGCTCTTCTTCATCATCAACTAAGTCGCCTCCACCACCAAGGCCAGTGGGGACGAGTCAGGCTTCACAGAGAGCAGCAGCAGTGGCTGCTCTCTCTCAAGTTCTTGTTGCTGAGAATAAGAAATCACCTGATACCTCTCCTACAAGAAGATCCACTAGCTCCAACCCAGCAGATGACACCCATCTAAGTAAGATCCTCTTCTTTATTTCACGTTTTGACATTTTGAGAACATTTTTTGACTATATCTATCTTTATCCACAGCTGAAGCCAAAGATGAAGCAGATGCTTCAGAAGAAGCTAGTCATGAAACCAAGGAAGAAGAGGAAGTTTCAACTCCAGTAGAGGAGCCAGAAGCAAAGGAGGAGGAAACCGAAGAGCAAGATGATTCTGAAAGGGAAACAAGTGGAGCAACATTCACCTATGAACAGCTGAGAGCCAAATCTGAGAACCCTGTGGCTGGAATCGATTTCAAACGCAGAGAGGTGAGTTGGTTATACTTAGTATTAGGAGCTGAATAACTCTGCTTATAGTCTAACTTGCCGGTTTCTTATTGTTGTGATCAATATACAAGGCTTATCTATCTGAGGAAGAGTTCCAAAGTGTGTTTGGGATGGAGAAAGAAGCATTCAACAACTTACCACGTTGGAAGCAAGATCTGCTTAAGAAGAAATACGACTTGTTCTAGAACTCCTACACCAATGGATAAACATCTCAAACATCCTTTATCACTAATCCGATCTTACTATCTTCAGTGATCGTGTGTTTATTGGTTTTATGTGGTCGGTTAATTTGTTGTGGTTTGAAGAGTGTTCTTTTTTTTTTTCTTTTTCTTTCTCTATTTCAATTTTATTTACTTTCTCATGTACTTTTCTCTCATGGGTTGGTTTGGGGTTGATTTTTAATATTTTCTTACTGTTTTATCCGAGACAGATTTGTGATTTTGGGTAAGAAATTCTTTGATTTGGATATTTCATTGTTGTGATTATTTAGTAACATGTATATTCTTACAATCAGATAACTCATTTGTAGAAGAAGCTTTATGCATGTTTATGAGTTGTTTAGTTTTGAGTCTTGTGACTTTGATTGTCTAGACATGGTTCAGTGCCAAGGGGTGGGTACTCAGATACTTGGATCGGGTCTGGGTGGAGTAGTTCTGGTTTAATGATTTTAGGTACCGATGCGATCAGGTATTTTTAACTTTTGGATTGAATTTGGTTTGATACTTTTCGAAGTCACTTTTATAAGATACTATTTTTTTTTTTTTTAATATGGCTCAGATCTGAATCCAAAAGTATCTACAATAGATGAAAAACTCAAAATTCCAAGAAAAAACAAAAACATGAATGTTCATCAAAACATTCCCAATATCACTGTAATATCAAATGTATAGAACTTTCGAAAATGTATATGGAGAAAATATATACAATACATCTGTAATATCAATATGGAACATATATATATATATATATACAATAAAATGGGCCGAAACAAAGGAGAAGATTTGAGTCCACCTCATAGACACGAAGACGCATTTTAATTTCCATTGTATAGATTTTTCGGCGGAGTGATAATTTATACAGTGTATATGATGTTTGTAAACTTGTTAATCTTCTCTATCAATACGATAATTCGGTTCACAACATCAAATACACGTAGATTGTAAGCGAACAATTTATCCCAAAAAATTGCTGAAAACAAAAGTAAATTTTACCAAATTTATCTTCTTCGGGTACAATTTCAAAATTTATCTGTTTTGTTTACCCATCCAATATTTTCATATCATCATCAGTTATCAACCCAACACGATAGCAAAATTTATAGCATTGCATAGTCCGGAGTGGAAAAAATATCTACATCACAAAGGAAAATAACTCAATTTCCTTTTCTACTACTAATTTAGAAATTTTTTTTTCCCTTTTTTGTAACTTTAAATTATAACTTTTCTCTATAAGAAAAGAGAAGATCTCGAGGGATTGCAGTCTCCTTCTTTCTTTCTTTTTTCTTCTTGTGTGGGAGTTTCGTTTCGATTTGATCAGAAATAGATATGGGGCGAGACAAGGGGGAAGAGAAGCTGAAGTGCAAGCGAATTGATTTCACGAAGAAAGTGCCCTGCAATTTCTGCGAGTTCTCCACCCGCAGGTAAATAAAATCTGGGCTCGTTTGCTGTCGATTTTCTTAGGGTTTTGTTGTTGAAATAGTTATATCGAGGAGCCATCGCAAGGTTACATTTCTCTTTTCGTTTTCTGGGTTAGCTATTACTCTGAATCGAAGAGATTTTCGAGCTTCTTCTTAGTAGTTTTAGTCTCTTGGTCCATCTTTGTCCTCTGCAAGATCATCTACCCAACCTTTACTGTGACTTATTCTGGGTTTGCAAATTCTTTCCAGGTATGAACTAAAACCACACGAACAAGATCATGATACAGTGGTATGTATATATCATTATATCTACACAAATAGCCTCAATTCATGAACTTTTTTTTTATCAATACGAATTTCTGTTTTTGCTTACATTGTACACCGCTTCTGTAGCGTATGGCGAGCGAACTCGAGAGGTTACGGCTTTTGACCAGGTATGACTCATTACCATTTCCCCTTTCCTGTTCTGGAAATTCTTTTTTTTTTTCTTTCCGATGTCGTTCATACGAGTTATTCCTCTATATTTCCAGGAGAATGACTGGTAAGGATCTCGAGGGTCTAAGTTTCGCGGAGCTGCTATTACTTGAGAGTCGGTTACAGGATGTCTGTCTCATTGTGACGGACCGAAAGGTGAAGCAAAGGAATTACTTACTTTACTTCACTCATCATCTGAAATGTTGTCATTCTCAAGCAGCTTTGTTTGTTTTATACTATTACAGAAGAAAGCAAAGCTGGAAGAAGATGAAAAAAGGATGTGCAAACAGGTAAAGATTATTATATCATAACCTAGTTGCTCTTATAGACATGGCCTCAATTCCCTTTCCAATCTTAACATGTACGAGGAGCAAGGCAGTTTTGACCAACCTTGCAATATTTTTCAATGTTTCAGACGACAAGTCTGCAGCTCTCGGCTCCATGCATATTATCTACGAGGAGCAGGTAATCTCTTCAGCTTAGCTAAAAAAAAAAAGGATTCTTTGGTTGAAGAAGGATTTGTATCTCTGTGCAAAGGATTCAGTGTTTCTAGATTTTATTTTGCTAAAATCATCTCTTGTTTCTGGGGCTATACACCAGCAGATTCTGTTTCTGCACTTCTCTTGCCCTAGCTTGTAGTATTGAATCCTTCATGCCGCCTCTTAATGTTGTAGTAGCACAGAAAGTCTTGTGATGATTTTGATGTCTTTTTGCCTTTCGATCATTGAACTAATTTTGTGTGTGTGTGTGTGTGTGTGTGTGGGGAATATGCAGCTCTGAAGAAAGTCAACAGAATCAGGCACCAGTGGTACTGGTTTCCTGCTGTCCTGTCTCTTCTTTTTTGTTTTTTTTTCCTCGCATTTGTGTCTTTTACAAATCCTTTTGTTTATTACTGCAGCCGCGGATGCAGAGGGAGTTTGAGAGACGAAATGGTGAATCCATGCAGAGCGAAACTCGAGAGATTGTGGCTTCTGAATGAGTAGGACTCTGTTCCCTATTTCCTGAAACCGCCTCTTCGGTTTGACTCTCATTGGTTTTCTTTTATCCTCCCAGGAGACTGAATGGGAGGGAGCTCGACAATATGACGTTCTTTGAGCTGCGCATGCTTGAAAATCAGTTATTAGATGGTATATGCAGGGTGAAGGACGAGAAGATGGGACCGACAATGGAGCAAATTGCAAGGCAGCTCAAAGAGGTAAAACTTTTTATCCATGTAGATATGTTGTAGTTAGTAAATCCAAATCTCTTCTTCTTTCCTCTCACGATTTCTTGTCTGTTGGCTCGCCACCACAACAAGGAATCGATCACTCTGTCAGCTGAGCAAGAGAGATGTTCATTGGACATTTTCAAGGATGATCAGCATCGTGGCATTTCCTTGCGATCTAGATCACAACACACGCTTCTTTCCGTTTCAAGAAAGCTCAGAAGGTTCCAAAAACGGAAGACCATGCCATAGGTCAGAGCGGTCTGCCAGGTCTAAGTGGCTTCCGATTGATCTGCCTTCGGAGGGTTTACCGCCTTAACCATCCATGCTCTGTTTACTGATTTCTCTGTCTATCTATGTTTATCTGACTTAATGTTAATCTACTCTTCTTGCCCCTTGAATTCTCTATCTAGTGTATGTTTATCTGATCTAGGGCTAAGGGGGTTTAATTGGAAGCATTTACTAACAATGCTACAGATTTTTTGGAAAATTTAGGTACAAAATTAATTATATAAAAATTTATGGGATGACCCCCCTTCCTTTGGGTCCGCCTCTGGGTATACATATGTAGCTTTTTAAGTGTGGAGCAATGTTTACGTCATCACGATGTTCAGTTTTTTTCTTTCACTTTAGTGTGCATCCCAAGAGAAGCTCATCGAATGGGTGAGAATACAGTGCTCTGTTTGTGGCACCTGGGAAGGGGAAGGAGATACACTAAGATTTTGATTGGTAACTTTGCGGAATTACGGAATTGCGGAAAAAATCTTGCGGAATAGATTAAGCGACTTTTCTGCGGAATGACTTTTCCTTTGCATTTTTGTGAAGCAAAAACGCAGTGTGTATTTTTTTATTACGCGAATTTTTGTTGATTGGCAAAAAAACCTGCGGAATTGTGTTTAAAAACGCAATTCTGCCATTCTGCAGGTTACCAATCAGAGCCTAAATTAGAGCCACACTTGTGTCAAGAGAAGTGTAATAAATTTGATTTGCCACAAAAAAGAGAGATTATATATACTAGTGGGTCAAGCGTGCATCATGCAATATTTTGGATTATTATTTTTACTTAACATAATTAGAAAGTAACAAAGTTTAATATATGGTTAAAACAATTTTTTCTTTAAAAAAAATATTGGGAAATGTTTCCTTAAAAACAAATAATTAGTAAAAAAAAATTCTAACTGTAAATATTTTAAGTAATTGATTTTAATTTTTGATAATTTTTATTTGAAATTAATCCTGATTATTTAAATTATATTTCACAACATATTTTTTAGTAGAAAATTTGTATTTATAATTTATAAACACTAGTTGACAAAAAAAACTAGTGTTTATAAATAATAAATACAAATTTTCTACACTAAAGCTTATACTTTTTTCTACACTATATAAAATGAACTAATGAAACTAAAATTATTAAAATGAAGTTTAGTTAGATCAATAAAATATCAGCTATTTTATTCAATACATGTTTTTCAAATTTTAGATAATATTAATGATAAAAAATTTCATAAGCATTAAAGTATAATACATAAAATACAATAAATCAAATAAATAACTTAACATTAATAAATGAATTGATAATGTGTCATAATTTTAAGCTATGAATTGATAACATGGTAGTATAAGAAGAGAAAACATTTTAGTTTATATCTATATATTGATTAATATTACATTTTTTCTTCGAATATTCCATCTGCTATACAAGTTCAAATACATTTTATACAACTTTCGAAAATATATATGGAGAAATATATATAATACATCTATAGGGAAAACGGCATATTCCCCTATGAATTTTATATCCTTTAAAAATATATACACGAACTATTAAACTATGTCTATAACTACATGAAATATTAAAATACGGTCAATTTCACCAAAACCATAAACGATATTAATTTTTGGTCAATAATTAATGACATAGTTGACACATGACATACTAGTTTACAATATAATTTGGTTGATGTATTTTTTCAAGTGGTCAAAACAATGTCGTTTTGATATTTCTTAAAAAAAATACATTCCCTAAAACTCGAACACACAACCTTATAAATAAAATTTTACTACCATACCAACTGAGCTACAAACATTACTTGATTTTAATTATCTAACAATTTTTATATAGATATCCAATTGAAATCAACATATTGATAATCCTTGGCACCTAATCCTCCCTTATTTCATTCCAACTTACAGAGTCGTTCTTTACGACTTAGTTTTCACCAGATTTACGTTGCCGATGTTAACCCTGGATCAGATCGGATACGGATCAGGCTGCATTTCAATATTCATGTAGTTATAAACATATTCAATAGATCGTGTATAAATTTTCAAGAAACATAAAGTTTGTAGGAAATAGGCCGTTTTCCCTACATCTGGGAAAACATATACAGTAAAATGGGCCGAAAAACTATCGAGAAATGGGCTTAAATATCTGTAGCCGCGAGTAATGTTATCCCTTTATCCACCGAAGACACTCCTTCCCTCGCGTTGGCTCTAATGGCAACCGTTACCCATTTCAAGCTCGTCGCTCCGCCGGAATCTTCCCGCGCCGATCTTCCGGGAGCTACGAAAGCCTCCGACGCATTCCAGGAGAAGAAATCTGTGTCTGTGAACTACGACCGAGGGGAGCATGAAGTCTCTGTCCGGGTCGGCGGGTTCAGGAAAGCGGATATCCCGAGACGTTACCGACTTCGGGTTGAGAACGACCGATTTCAGAAGGATTGGAGTGTATCGGAGGTGGTGGACCGTCTTATGGCTCTCAATCGCTGGGACCAAGTTGATGGCGTTCTCAATTCATGGGTCGGCCGGTTTGCTCGAAAGAATTTCTCAGTTCTTATCAGGGTATGTATGTGTGTGTTAAAACACTTTCTCGATTAATTGGTTGATGGAGTTTTTGAAAATTGATATTGAGTGGAGTTTGAATTTCGAGCTTTGCAGGAGCTCAGTAGAAGAGGGTGCATTGAGCTTTGTGTCAATGTTTTCAATTGGATGAAGAATCAGAAGAATTACTGTGCGAGGAACGATATTTACAATATGATGATCAGGCTTCACGCTAGGCATAACTGGGTTGATCAGGCTCGTGGTCTCTTCTTTGAAATGCAGAAATGGAGGTATTTCTTTGAAAGCCTCCCTTTTTGAATTTTTTATATAAACATTATTTGATTGAGAACGTTTATGCTATGAATGTAGCTGCAAACCGGATGCTGAGACGTACAATGCTCTTATCAATGCCCATGGTCGAGCTGGTCAGTGGCGCTGGGCTATGAATCTTATGGATGACATGTTACGTGCAGCTGTGTGTAACTTTGCTTGATTCCTGTTAATGATTTTGATTCAGTTTGGTCACAAATGAGGCTCCTTTTTATCTTTTCCAGTGTCGAAAGGTTGAACATTAGATAAATGGCCAGAGAACTTTTGCTTGGTGCCTTTATTACGTTCTTCATCTTGCAAGTTGAATTGATCAATATGCTTAAAGGTTACATTTCTTTTGGCTTTTCGTATGCAAAACAGTTAGGAATAAACATTTTAACCTCTGATTTTTATACCTTTCTCATCAATTCTACAGTTTTGGGCCTTGTCAGTGTTGCTTCAAAAACGATTTTTTGACACTTCTCTGGTCTTGCAGATTGCTCCTAGTCGTTCAACCTACAATAATCTGATCAATGCTTGTGGATCTAGTGGAAACTGGAGAAAGGCTCTGGAAGTATGCAAGAAAATGACAGATAACGGAGTTGGACCGGATTTGGTGACTCACAACATTGTGTTATCAGCGTACAAGAGTGGTCGTCAGTTTTCAAAAGCGCTATCTTATTTTGAGCTCATGGAGGGAGCTAAAGTCCGTCCGGATACCACCACGTTTAATATCATTATATATTGCCTGTCAAAGCTTGGTCAAAGTAGCCAAGCCCTTGATGTTTTCAATTCCATGAGGGAAAAGAAAGCTGAGTGCCGACCTGATGTTGTGACATTTACTAGCATCATGCATTTATACTCTGTCAGGGGAGAGATAGAAAACTGCAGAGCTGTGTTTGAAGCAATGCTTGCAGAAGGTCTGAGACCTAATGTCGTTTCCTATAATGCCTTAATGGGTGCCTATGCTGTTCATGGAATGAGTGAAAAGGCTCTCTCGGTTTTCCAAGAAATAAAGAGGAAAGGCTTGCTCCCAGATGTGGTCTCTTATACATGCTTGCTCAATTCTTATGGAAGATCACGTCAGCCTGGAAAGGCAAAGGAGGTATTCCTTATGATGAGAAAGGAAAGGAGAAAGCCTAATGTTGTTACTTACAATGCACTGATTGATGCTTATGGGTCTAATGGGTTGTTAGCTGAAGCTGTGGGAATCTTCCGGCAGATGGAGCAAGACGGCTTTGAGCCAAATGTTGTTTCAGTATGCACTCTTTTGGCTGCTTGTAGTAGGTCCGGGAAAAAAGTGAATGTTGAAACTGTACTTTCTGCAGCACAGTCGAGAGGTATCAAGCTCAATACGGCAGCCTATAACTCAGCCATTGGAAGCTACATAAATGCAGCAGAACTTGATAAGGCCATTGCATTGTATCAGACTATGAGAAGACGGAAAGTCAAAGCTGATTCCGTTACTTTCACTATCCTTATAAGCGGTTCATGTAGGATGTCAAAATACCCTGAAGCAATTAATTACTTGAATGATATGGAAGATCTCGGTATTCCATTGACGAAGGAGGTGTACTCTTCTGTATTATGTGCTTACAGCAAACAGGCAAGTGTTTAGAGTTTGAGCTCAGAAGAAGATGTACTCTGATTTTTTGTATGTCTTTAATTTTCAATTACTCTGTGATAATTTCCAGGGTCAAGTTACAGAAGCAGAATCCATATTCAACCAGATGAAGACGGCTGGGTGCGAACCTGATGCGATAGCGTACACTTCAATGCTCCATGCTTACAATGCTTCAGGTATATACCAGGAGCTCAAGACTGTCAAAAATTGTAACAAAATATTTTCCATGGATCTGAATTCCCTTGGAATGCTTTTGTGTCCCCAGAAAAGTGGGAAAAGGCTTGTGAACTCTTCCTGGAAATGGAAGCAAATGGAATAGATCCAGATTCTATAGCTTGTTCAGCTTTGATGAGAGCTTTCAACAAGGGAGGTCAACCGTCAAATGTCTTTATCCTGATGGATTTAATGCGGGAAAAAGAAGTCCCCTTCACTGGAGCAGTTTTCTTTGAGATCTTTTCGGCTTGTAACATGTAAGTACTCGTATTATGTCAATTCACTTTATAATAATAAATCGCCTTTTTGAAATACAACAAAACACCAAATCTAGTTATCTTCTTCTTTCAACGTTGCAGCTTGCAGGAATGGAAAAGAGCTGTAGACCTCATCCCAATGATGGAGCCGTATCTGCCGTCGCTTTCTATCGGCTTAACTAATCAGATGCTGCATCTTTTTGGGAAGAGTGGTAAAGTCGAAGCAATGATGAAGGTGCAAAGAATTTTTATTTATACATTTCTCTGCTAATAATTAGGCTACAGAAGATTAAATAAGCGTTTTAACCAAACCATGTTTGACAATTTACACACGCAGCTGTTCTATAAGATAATAGCTTCAGGTGTTGAAATCAACCTCAAGACTTATGCAATACTATTGGAACATCTTTTAGCCGTTGGAAACTGGAGAAAATACATTGAGGTAATTACTATTTTACTTGTCACCTGCCAAATTAATTTCCTTTAATATCCTTTTAACAGTGATCATCAACACCGAGCAATTTTTTGCGGTTCAGAAATAATTTTTTACTGTGTGTGAATGATTTGCAGGTTTTAGAATGGATGAGTGATGCTGGTATTCAACCCTCATACCAAATGTATCGTGACATTGTTTCCTTCGGTGAAAGAAGTGCTGGGATCGAGTTTGAGCCTCTAATACGCCAAAAAATGGGTGAGAACTGTGAGATGAACACGAATGAAAATTAGTTACATGAAATTTTGGTTCATCAAAGTTTGTCTGGTGTGGATAACGTAAGAATCACATCTCATTTTTTTTTTATAGAATCACTGAGAAACAAAAAGGAGAAGATCTGAGTCCACCTCGTAGACACGAAGACGCATTGTAATTTCCATTGTATAGATTTTTTTGGTGGAGTGATAATTTATACAGTATATGATGTTTGTAAGCTTGTTAATCTTCTCTATCAATAAGATAATTCGGTTCACAACATGAAATAACTTGGGGGTGTTGAAAATGAACGTAGATTATTAGCTAGAGTCTATGTCCAGATAAACCATATTTTTAATCAAAATATACTCTACACTCTAGCCAACAATTTATCAAAAATAAACGTTACCAATTTTATCTTGTGTGGATACAATTTCAATCAAAGTCTAGACATTTAACCAATCATTTGAAATTTTTTTGAAATATGATTTGACTAAATGGGAAGATTCGATCATTACAACGGTAGAAAATATGAAGAATCAAATGATTAAAATAAGCTAGTTTGATAAACAAAACAAAAACAATGTTTTGAGTGTACTATGCAAAGAATATTCCTTGAACGAGGCTAATGTTGGGAAACACTCCACATTAAAATGTCAGAAACCAGAACCAGATCATGTACACGTGGATATACTTAGTACACGTCAGCAATCGAATACAGAAGAAAACCTATTCTCGGAAGGACGAAAACACCCTCGTCCCCGTTCATAGCCGTTGCACTTGTTATATTTCGCGTCGTTAACAAAAGGTAAAACAAAAAGGGACGTAATGGTAAATTGATATCCGTAATTTATCTGAAAATCATTGTATTCGGTGAAAAAGATTAAAAGAATAGTCAGAGTTTAGTAGATTTTAGCCATCTCTTTCTTTCAGCTCTCACTCTCTCTCTCTTTGCTTCTACTGTATCGAGCTCGGATTTTGCTCGCCACTGTGCGCCTTTATTTTCTCTTTCCTAGGGTTTATTTTTGGTTAGACACGGAAGAGGTTCTGATCATGGCGTCGATGTCGTCGTCGGATCATGGACCTAAGACAGAGACGGGATGCAGCGGAGGAGGAGTTGGAGGAGGAGAGAGCTCGGAGACTGTGGCGGCGAGCGATCAGATGATGTTATATAGAGGTTTTAAGAAGGCGAAGAAGGAGAGAGGTTGCACAGCTAAGGAGCGGATCAGTAAAATGCCGCCTTGCACCGCTGGCAAAAGAAGCTCCATATACCGTGGAGTCACCAGGTTCTCTGATTCTGTGCCTTTTTTGCTAATTACCTTTAAATCGGAATTATCGGTTTATGATATGGTGGGATTGGATTTGGAGGGTAGGATTGATTTTCAATTTCGTATTGTGTCGTCTGCATCAGAGTATGGAATCTGAGGACTAGGTGGAGATGTCATTGTTCGATTAATGTTTTGTGAGAGATCTTGTATAGTGCTGAGTTATCTCTGGAATCGGTTAATTGTTCTAAGAAACACTACTTTTATAAATATTCACCTCAGATCTTAAGAGTACTAGACATCATTCTGTATTGAAGTATAATTGTTTGAGTGAAGAAATGAGTAGAAGTTCTTGGCATCCACGACATTAAGATACCAGCACTTTGCCTCTCTTTCTTTTTGTTGTGTCTCATTGAGTCAAGAGTTGAATGTACTGTCTTACGGTTCTGCATCCCATAGCAGTAGGAGATGCTGATGCGTTTTTCTTTCTTAACATTTGTCAAGTACAGGCATAGATGGACAGGTCGGTACGAAGCTCACCTTTGGGATAAGAGTACCTGGAACCAAAACCAGAACAAGAAGGGAAAACAAGGTTTCTCTTTTTCTCTCCGCATCCAACAAAATTACTTTTCTCATCTCCACTAAGTTTTCTCTTGTTTGGACGGATATGAAAGCTGATCTCTTTTTTTTTTCCCCTTCATGGTTGATGCAAATTTGGGCGCACCAGTATATCTAGGTAAGCTAAAAGCTTTGGAGGTGTTGATTGTGTTTTTGTGCATTCGAACACGCTTGGGATAAAATTGGATTAGCTTGAACTTAAGAACCCAACTCATTTTAACAGGAGCATATGATGATGAAGAGGCTGCTGCTAGAGCTTACGACCTTGCTGCCTTGAAATATTGGGGCCCTGGGACACTTATAAATTTTCCGGTGAGATTGCTATGGTAGTATGCTTTTAAAGTTGTACTGCTCAGTTTATATGCAAAATGATGGTTACATATGTGTTTCAGGCCACCCTTCTCAATTTATAGATTTACGTATTTTATTCTCGTAGGTGACTGATTATACCAGGGATTTAGAAGAAATGCAAAATCTCTCAAGGGAAGAATACCTTGCATCTCTACGTAGGTGCGTATGTATTTAGAAGTAGTTTATTTTCCTTTTAAGAACCATATATTGCTGACACTATTTAGATATCCCTTTGGCAGAAAAAGCAGCGGTTTCTCAAGGGGAATAGCGAAATATCGTGGACTTCAAAGGTGAAATTTGACTACCAACTGGCTTACGCTCCTTTTTCTTCTTCTTAATTGTCTGTAGAACTATTGAATCAAGAGTGGTTATCTCTGTCATTTAACAGTGCCCATAAGAAAAATCTTTAGTGATACATTATGGATCATCACAGTTTGATTGATGGACACATTATCGACTATCACTTGCTAATTTCAATAAGAAGTGTTTATATGCTACTTTGAGCCCTTAGGCATAGGGATATGGCCAAGCTATCTTCAGAATTATTGGACCTGCTGTGTTTTGGCTGTAGCACTCTCTAGTTTTTGCCTTTTTTTTTACCTTCCTTTGTCAAACTTAACATTCAAACCTGATATGAATTTCTGCTGTTTTTTCCAACTATTCTGCAATTCCTGACCAGCCGATGGGATGCATCAGGCAGTCGGATGCCTGGACCTGAATACTTCAGTAACATTCATTATGGTGAGTTTCTAACATCGTTGACCCATCTTTGAAGCTGCATTAGACCACGTAAAACTTTTTTCTCATTAATAACAGGGGCAGGTGATGATCGAGGAACAGAAGGTGATTTTCTTGGTAGCTTTTGTCTGGAAAGAAAGATCGATCTAACAGGATACATAAAGTGGTGGGGAGTCAACAAAACACGTCAACCAGAATCTTCATCAAAAGCATCAGATGATGCAAAGGTAGAAGATGCCGGAACTGAGCTTAAAACACTGGAACACACATCCCAGGCAACAGAACCATACAAAGCGCCAAACCTTGGCGTCCTTCGTGGAACTCAGAGAAAAGAAAAACAAATATCATCACCGTCTTCCACCTCTTCTGCTTTAAGCATTTTGACTGCATCACCTGCTTACAAGAGCCTGGAGGATAAAGTGCTGAAGATCCAAGAAATTAGCAGCACTAGAGAAAATGATGAGAATGCGAATCGTAACATCATCAGTATGGAGAAGAGTCACGGCAAGGAAATAGAGAAACCGGTTGTGAGTCACGGAGTTGCTCAGGGTCGTGTCTATGTTATGGATTGGGAAACATTGGCCTAGGGCCTATTTTAATATTTGTTAAAACCTTTAGACTTTTCTGTTTGTCTGATCGTGAGATGAATTTGTCGACTTGACATCTCTTTATATCTCTTGTGGAGAGAAAGTTAGGAGAAGTGTGACAATGGTCTGAAGCAGGAATGTACATGTTTTTGTTAGTGGTTGTGTTTTTTCAAGTGTGTAATATAGAATCATTGTATTTTATGTAAAACAGGAAAAGGTTTTATTATAGTATAAAAGTTTGTTCTTAAGAAACTTCTGCACAAGGTAACTTGATTGTCACAGATCTCTAATTCTCTACCAAATGGTTTGACAAATATAATCTCCACATCGTGTAAACTCTGTGCATCTAAGTGAATCCCGCCACCCAAACAGGGACTGAGTATATAACAGTTCCGATCGCAAAAGAAACCGCAATGGTGAAAGAAGCATACGCATAGGCTCTCCATGGGTAACCACTTTCTCTCATCGCATTGAACTCAGCCATTAAGGTGGATACTGTGCTTAGACATCCCAACAGACCAAACTGTGTACCCGAAGCAACCGTGTTACATGTTGTCGTGTTCACCTGTTTCCCAAAATAGATACAGAAAATGTTATCTTGTGTAATCTGTTTATTAAAAAGAGTGAGAGAGAGAGAGAGAGTTCATACCGATCTCTTTAACGTGGCCAAAGCTGCCATGACAGATGCTGCAGCTACATTTGCAATGAGGGTGCCTAATGGGACCCACCTAAAGTGTTGTCTATCTTTTCCCAGTCCACGCCCGTTGAGTCGGGCTAGAAACCATCTGAGCCAGACACCAGGGGCTGCAACTAAGCAACCTAACCATAGCTGAGCCTCGTTTGTTCCTTTGTCAAACTCTTTTGCAAGCAGAGTGGCACTCATAGCGAGTAAAGCCACAAGAAACAGAAGCATTACGGTCATAGACACAATATGGTTCATGAAGGTGTTAGCCTTGAGACAGGAGTTTCTTTCCTCAGAGCTTCTTCTGAGAATAAGCCATCTGAAACCTTTGGCTGTTTCAACCCCGAGAATGATGGAGTATGATGTGAGAAACAATCCTGCAAAGTTGTGTATGCTGTAAACAAGTATGTTTCATCTATAATTTTGGTAACGATTGGAGATTTTGAAAGGGGAATTCTGTATTCACCTAAAAGAAAGCCAAGCACAGCGTAGACCCATTGGCCATCGGCACTAAGATCCAGCATTTTCTGGTTCCAACCGCTGAATGTTGTGAGGCTTCCCAAATAACCAGTCGACAATCCGATTGCTAAAAATTCTGAAACTCTCGCTATATCTGCTTTGAATACGACCCCAAACCAACCCATCAAGAATGATCCTACCTATAAGGAATCATGTTTGGAATTATCTTAAGAGAGAGAGAGAGGTCTATAAAAAAAGGTGGGTTCTTCAAGATGAATGCATCGTGACTTGTACCATGTTGGAGGGAAGATCAAGGTACAAGATGCTTCCATCACTGGTTACTCGAGCACCAGTTGGTCCAAACAATTTCTGCAGCAAATATCTTGTAATAGCCTGTTTATTTGCAGACAACCAGGGGATTACAGTGATTAAAAACAAAACAAAGCACGAGCAGAGAGCCATAAAGAGAAACATGAAAACTAAGCATATCACAATTTAAAGCCTCGGAAACTTACCCCAAGAATACCAAAAACAGCCAAATGAATTAGGGACGATATGTATTCCAAGGATTTTGATATCACGTGCTCTTCTTCCTTTCCCTATGCAAACCACGAGCTATCATAAATCAAAACATTGAACTGAGAAACCAACACTAACAGTTTCAAATGTGACTATAAGAAGTTAGAGATGGTCTCTACCGCGTTGTTGGCCTCAGGTGACAAGAGTGACTTGGTTGGTAAAGGAGATGTAGTTATGTCCACAGGCAAAGGTTTGATTACAGAAGCTGTGTTCAAGTCTCGAAGGTCATGTAACACATCTTGTTCTTCACGAGAAGTATCATCAGTCCCTTGTTCTATCAACTCCTCAGCAGACAAGCGATTACTTCTACCACTACTATGCCTTCTCCGAAGTGAGCGATCTCCAATATCCCCAGCCTCGGAGACACTCTCACTATCGGCATCATTGTTCATCAGGAAAGGCAGGCTACGTGATAAGCTTAAAGAAGAGCTTACACTGCTCTCTCGACTAAAAGACTTGGTTCGATAGGGTTCTACGTGGCTTTTAGAGGAATCCATTGACTTTGTAGCCAAAACACAGGACTTGTTAGAAGATGCTGATGATGACAATTTTGCTCCACCTGCACATCCTGTTTGTTAAGCCATAGCCACACACGCACAAAAAAAAAGGACGTGAGGAAAAGTTCAAAAACAGACAAGACACAATCGAACAATGTGGCAGGTACTTAAATAAAGTTTAAGATATAGACGTAAGAGTGCCCATGAATTCCCAAAGACTTTTGAAGAGTGTTTGCAAAGTTTAGTTGTAATCTTCAAAACCGTAGCTTTTCGTTCCATACTAAGACTGATTTCCAAAAGCTCATGCCAAGAAACACCTTTGATATAGCTTGAGTTAAGTTGGTTTCATTCTACAGAAGCAGAAAACGAATTTCCTCAAAACAGGATTAAAAAGAAAAAAAAGTTTCCAGATATGTCCACCACTACCAGGACAAAACCAAAAAAGAAAAAATCAAAAAGCTAACTTCAATCCCAAAAACAAATGATAAAAATTAATTTGCTTTTCATACTAAACAAATGGGAAAAGCGGAAGTCGAAAGAGAGCAAGCCTCCTAGAATAATAATCACTTGTATAAAAAGGGAAAGCGAAAACCTCAGAAAGCTCTACAGGTGGCAAAGACGAATACTTTTGAAAGATTGGGTGATTAGTGGGGTTTGGTCATATCTTTGGATTGTCTGTTTGAGTGAGTTTCATTTAAAATTCAAGCAGCTTTACCCTTTTGACGAATTCTGTCTAAATCGTCATCAAGAATCTGATCCCAAAAGTCTGCGGCGGAGAAATCGAGCTGAAATCGTCGTGAAGAAATTTATTTTTTGGGTCGAAATCGTCGTGAAAAAAATTTCTTCAATTGGATCTTATGAAAATATTTCGACAATATGGGCGGGTAATTTAGAATTATTATTGCAAGGTTTATGATTAAACAAAATGGGTCGCTGACTAAAAAAAACTGGGTCTGGCCCAAATGTATTCAAGGTCCATGAAAATCTATTACATATGTCCATTCAACGAGGCCGGATACTGAAATAATAAGATCCACGTATTCTTGTTGAAATATGGGAAAAAACCTTAAAAATATCTGAATTGTATAACATTTGTTAAAAAAAAAAAATACACGAAGTATTTTCGTTCCCATAACTATGAATCTTCAATTCAACATACAATTTAAAACAAGTTTTCATGACACAAAATTAATGTCAAATTCTATCTAATCATTTACTTTTCAAGCCATCTATGTTTTTATTTTTAGCTATTCGGTTTATTTAAATACCCTGATCTAAGGATCTAATGTATTTTTATGAAATATCATAACTAAATAATGTCTTTTTTTGTTAAATTTTATTTTTATTCATATATTAACATTTTTTTTGTGATTTGGTAGGTAATCTATCTACAATAGCAACCTAAAATAAATTATCACAATGACATGATCTATCTTTATCATCAATACGTATTTTCTTTTGGTTTTGTGAACCACATCACTTTCTTATACAGTTATACTTTGACATTTTGTAGTGTATCATTTCAATTGCTATAAAAAGAACTACTTCTAATAGCTTTTGATTAGTATTTTTTTCCACTTGCTTTGCATAGTATTTATTTCTTATGATATATATAATGTACATTAGTATCCATCCATAATTTTGTTCCAACTACTACAATCCATTATTGGTATTTGGTAGACACCAAAATGATGTATCATATTTGGTCATCATAAAATGAACATTATATATGGTCGTTGGTCCAAAATTTAGTTTTTTAGCTCTGAAGTTTCGATCTATAACAACAGGTAACTGAAACTATGAACCAAAAATATATCATTGCAAACCACAAACTTTCTATTTACAATGTGAAATCAATGTAAACAGTTCTATACACATGTAATCTCACCAATTACCGAATCAAAGCGAGTAAAAAAAAAAAATCACAAACAAGATTCCAAGAGGAAAAGCAAAGCAGGATATACATAGAATCAGACAAAACCAGACAACACAAGAAGCCGCCAAAAAGGAAAACTATACGTAAAATCAATAGTAAGAAGAAGAAGAAGAAGAAGAGAGCCAAGGGTGGTTGAGTGCCTTGAGAGCTGTTGGACGTCTCAATGGATTGATCTCAAGTAGACTTGTTACAAAATCTAAGAACAATTCATCACTGACGTGTAACTGATCTTCCAAGCTAGATTCTTCTGTGATTATGTATTCAATCTCATTGCTCTCCTATCACACCAAAACAAAAAAACAATGCATCAGATTCGAGTAACAAGTCTTGAGACTTTCAGTTAAAATCAAGATAAAGTTACCTCGTTTAGGTGGTAGAGATCAAACTCTTTGGGTGAAGTATTTATGTGTTTCTTGACCTTTCTCTAGCATCTCCGTCAAACTCTTTTTGGTTATCTGATATAAGTTTGTTGCATTTGGCAATCAATGCAGAGGGGATGAGGAAAAGAATGTGGAGGGTAAAGATGAACAGTTTTTTGTGGATATAAGTTCATCAAAACATACAAGGATTCAACCGCTCAAAAAATGATGGACTCGTATAAATACATTTTTCTTTATTTGCAGACCTTATCATTATCCAAACTCGTAATAATCACATTAAAAACCAGCAGAAAGTCTAACATTTGTGTGAGTAAGTGCTTTCAAGCTCCAAAGCTTTAATCCGGTTATTGAGCTGGGAGAGGTATTAATGATTTCTTAATCTTCTTTTCATTTCTTTAGAGAACGAGCGAGAGCTTACTCCGTTCCGTAGCCATCTCAGCCTGGTCATGAACACATATGGTATCCGGATGCGGATACACGACATTAACTTCAATTTTCCATCCATTCTCGTCGTCATATTCGCTAAGTTTCCTAGCCTCCTCTACTGCGCCATCTCCACCTCTTTCTCCTTCTCCAATAATACTAATGAAAGCAGAGCTGTAAAAAATCAATCAACCAACAAAACAAAACAAGCCTCTCAGTTAGCATTTATTATAACTTGATAAAAAATTCACAGCACAAAATCGACACAAACCGGCTGCTGCTTCCGTCTTCGTCGTCTCCGAGAATCGCATGTGTCCTGACCTCTCCACATGAGGAGAAATGTTTACGCAACGCGCTCTTGATACCATCCTCAGAAAGACCATTGCCATATACGGTAACTTTCATATCTGGCGTGTGTTTGAGGATCTAATAAGAGCTAATTTAGAATCAGTTTCTTCGCTACACTTGTAAGCCTTAACGAATATTTTCCCTCATGCAACGTCACTTCCGTTAAGTTCCAACGCCTTGTCTTCTGCGCCTTCTTCTACCACTATATCAATTACAGCAAACGTGCGGAGAACATCGCTTCCGTCGACTTTGGGAATCATAACTAGTCTGATCTCTCCACATGATGCCAAGTGTTTTTTCAAAGCGCTTTTGATAGCATCCTCAGGAAGCCTAGTGTCATATCCCTCAACTACCAAAAGTCTGCAATAATTAATTTGATCGGAGGAGATGATATTATCAACATGACACGAACAACAGATCTTACAGAGACACAAAAAACAAACAAACAATCAGTTTACCTGCTCTTTCGAATGGCTGCATTCGAACGGTTCCGATCCAGCCCTTTGGTCAAGGATTCGTCCATGGAAAAGTTGAGATATAGGGTTTCGAGAGCCAGAGGGTATTTTTTTCAGTTTTAGGGTTTTGGGTAGGTTCCGTGTGAAAAAGGGGAAAGCGAGTAATATATATATATATATATATATTTAAGAACAAACCGCCTGAGCCTTGAATTCAGTTTGGGCCTGTACTAAGCCCATATAGCCTTTAATTCAGTTTGGGCAAAATCAGACATAAAATCAAGAACTATAGAAAGTTACTTAGCTGGGATATCTCTGTTGCCAATCCTCTCTGTTTTTCTCTGTTTCTTTTGTGAAATCAAACAATCAAATGATGTTTTTGAGTTTCTCCTTACAGGTCTGTCGTGTCCAGAGCTTTGTGGAATCGCTGGACATAATGAGGGCGAGAAACCGTCACATGAACTGCAGTGCAACTTCTCAGGATTTTTATTGCCATTTGCCAAAATCCGGAAGTCAATGCATTTTTTAGCTCCAAAGACTTCAACAAATCATAACACAACAGTGGGAACTGTTTGATTGAGGATGCTACAAAAATTTCTCTGACAATAGTTTGTAATTTCAGCATGATAATGCATGTATTAATAATATATTGATACCCAAAGAGTCATTTCATTTCAATCTGTAAATTGGCATACCAAGGCTGTTAACTTGGTGAAATAGCTACATTATGAACCTCTACTTACTTTTCGATTTCTTCCTCCCTTTTTGCAAACTGAATATAAACCTAGTAATACGATTTATACTAGTCTGGTCCAGTCAATTTTTTCCCTTGAAATATTTATCCGAAAACTTGAATATTCTTTTTATCACTTCCATTTTTTTTAAGCTAGTTTTCCAATTTGCTAGTTTTTTTATTTTTAAAAGTGTGATGATAAATGTTCAAAACGATACTTGACAATAATGTCATTTGAAAAAATATGTATTTAAGTTGCAAGCTATTGGTTTACATCTAAATATAAAAACTGTTTACGTTGAAGTTTTTTAAATTTTAACAAAACCTAAAAAGTAGTATAAACTTATTTCCACTGAACCAAGTCTAAAACCAAAAACCAAATGTGCCTGTGAAGAACTCAAATAGTCAACATTTGAAGGCTTCAACTTTTCCTTATCTTATTCTCAGTCTATGTTTTAGTAATTTAAAAAAAAAAACCTCAAAAAAAATGAAAGCTAAAACGATTTAAGTTGGGGAGAATATTCTATGGCGGCTGTTATTGGCAAAACACATTTGGTAATTAATCGACGTCAATTGATATTAAGCGTCAAACTTTAGAAACGGCATCGTTTATCCATAATCTAATTGGCATAGCTCAGTCAAGCAACGTCATTCTGAAACCAACCAGGACACTCCACGTAACGCGGCTTTTACTGTGGAGCCCACCCAAACCGCCCCTACTTGGCATGGACGCAAAGGTTTAGGTGGGGCTTATTTCTTATTGAATCTAGGATAATAATCTCTTTTATCCTGTGTATAAAATTCCAATCTCTTTTGTTTTTTCCTTTGTTGTTAATATTTTGATCTTTTTATTAAAGCTTAAACATTAACTAGCCTAAGGATTTATTTTCATAGCCTAGAGAGGAAAAAAATATTTGAGTTCAGACAAAAAAAAAGTAAAAACTGTAATAATAAATTGTGTTTATAAAAGAAACTTTTTTTCTTTTATCGACCACTTGTGTTAGTTATCCTCAGCGAGTTGCTAAATTATTTTTATTAGTAAATATAAAAATTAATTTAAAAGAGAAGAGATGGATGAACAAATATAATTGCGGAAGAAAAGAAAGATGGAAGCACAAATGTCAGTGAGGCGAGCCCAAGTGTTTGCCACCTCGTTTTCTTTCCCCTGGCCATAAAGTTTGATTTTTTCTTCATCCCAACGATTCTTTTTTTCTTTTTCGACGATTGCAATCTTTCTCTCACACTCTAGGGATTTCTGGGTTCTCTGCTGATTAAGAAAGGAAAGTGGGAACT